GCTTTAAAGGTCAAAAGCAGCACCTTAAATCTGACCCTGTACTCCACCAGGAGCCAGTGCAGCTGGAAAAGCACTGGGTGAATATGCTCCCATGGCAGAGACCCCGTGAGGAGCCTCGCTGCAGCATTCTGCAGCCGCTGAAGTTTCTGGGACAGCTTCAAGGGCAGCCCTGCGTAGAGCGAATTACAGTAGTCAATCCTGGAGGTGACCGTCGCATGGATCACTGTGGCCACGTCGGGTCAGGAAAGGTAAGGGATGGAAAGGTAAGATGATGGGAGATGTAGTCCAAAAAACATGGGTGCGGGCATGCATCAGGTTGGTGAAGACTGATCTGTTGTAAGTCTCCATCATAGAAAGTTATAGTTAGAAGAGACTCAAAAGGTAATTTGCTCCAGCCCCCTGCAATGCAGGAATCATAGCTAAAGAATCCCTGACAGATGGCTATCAATATAGAGTGCCTTGAGGACCACATGACCATAAACCTTTTAAACCATAAGCCAAGCCCTGGACATGGCAAGTTTCCCTGCGGAAAGCTGCTTTCCGGCCAGGTTGTATAAGTTACTTGTCAGCTGCTGAGGACAGGTAGGCGTAGAAACTTTGGGTGGAGCTACCAGCCCTGTCACCTAGGGAGACGCCTGGCTTGGTTCTATAATGGGATAATCACAGGCCAGGAAGTAAAGGGGCAGGATGAGATCTGTCAAGATCTCTTTCATTTTGTGTACCTGAGCTGCCAAATAAGAGTATGTAATACACAGATTGTCTATTAAAGCACCAGGGAAAGGGTTTTCAGCCAGTGTGCCGTGGCACCCTGGGGTGCCTTCAATGATGGTCAGGGGAGCCACGGGCAACACTGGCCTCAGTCCCTCTTTCCTTCCTTCCCTCCTTCCTCTGATGTCGTTTTGTGTCTCTGCCTCCCAAAGGCTTGTGCGGCTGTTTGTACAAAAGCCCTGGCAAGCTCCCCAGGCAAATGGTGCCTCTGGGGCTGGCCAGAGGGTATTGGTTGCCAGGAGCTCAGGTGGCTTTGGAGTAAGTAAGCAAGCAAGCAAGCAGGTGAGGGATCCCAGCCAGTCCACCAGCCCTTGCTGCTGGGAATGGACAGACAAGTCCCAGGCCCCTGTGGGGCAGTGAGAGAAAGCACCTCTCTTTGTGGTTGGGGGCACAGCTAAGAAACCAGGGACAACAGCAGCAGCAACTGCCCAGAGGACTCGCATGGAGATTGGAGAGGAGGAAGAGGCAACACCCCACAAGGGAGGGTATTCGAAAAAGGGTGAGAGGCTGCCAACTCTGCAAGTGAGGGGTGACATTACTGGGCTCCTGAGCCCCACAGGGGTGCCACAGAAAGAATGTACAGTGGTACCTCGGGTTAAGTACTTAATTCGTTCCAGAGGTCCGTTCTTAACCTGAAACTGTTCTTAACCTGAAGCACCACTTTAGCTAATGGGGCCTCCCGCTGCTGCAGCACCGCCAGAGCAAAATTTCTGTTCTCATCCTGAAGCAAAGTTCTTAACCCACAGTAATATTTCTGGGTTAGGGGAGTCTGTAACCTGAAGCATCTGTAACCTGAAGCGTATGTAACCTGATGTACCATTGTACATACGCTTCAGGTTGCATACGCTTCAGGTTACAGACTCCGCAAACCCAGAAATATTACCTCGGGTTAAGAACTTTGCTTCAGGATGAGAATAGAAATCATGCAGCGGCAGCAGGAGGCCCCATTAGCTAAGGTGGTGTTTCAGGTTAAGAACAGTTTTAGGTTAAGTACGGACCTCCGGAACGAATTAAGTACTTAACTTGAGGTACCACTGTAGTTGTTCAAGGGAGCCGTGGACTCAAAAAGGTTGAAAACTAGGGTATTCAAGGGCAGGCCACCTCCCTCAATATCAACCATCTTGGGCCTTATGATCAGCAGGGGAGGCCCTGTCGGTGGTGCCACAACGTGGAACCATCAAGTTGGTGCTGATAAACTACAGGATCTTCACAGTGGTGGCTCCCTGTTTGTGGAACACCTTCCCAGTAGGAGAGGTGCATCTGCCTCCCTCCTTAACAACATTCAGGAAGATTAAAAAATAACAAAAAAAACCATGTTCACCCAGGCCTTTGAAGGCTGACAGATACTGCTACTGGCAACCAGGGCTTTTTTTCCAGCCAGAACTGAGTTCCAGCACCTCTTAGGTGGGTACCATTGTCATTCTAAGAGAACAAGGGTGGCATTCATGGTGAGTTCTGGCAGTAGCACCTCCTTTTCTAGAAAAATAGCACTGTTGGCAGCCATTAAATTACTGTGAGGATACTGAATTGCTTTGCAATGTTTCCAGATGTTCCCAAATATTTTTAAAAAGCTCTGCTGTTTTCCTGCTTTATTTCCCAACCTGGGCTCTTTTGCAAAAGAAAGGTGGAAGTGTTACTAGGCTAAGTTCAAAGTGTTACTATAATAATTATAATAAATAAACAATAAGATTATGGTAAGATTATCAATCAAGGGATGCAGGTGGCACTGTGGGTTAAACCACAGGCCTAGGACTTGCCGATCAGAAGGTCGGCAGTTCGAATCCCCGCAACGGGGTGAGCTCCCGTTGCTCGGTCCCTGCTCCTGCCAACCTAGCAGTTCGAAAGCACGTCGAAGTGCAAGTAGATAAATAGGTACTGCTCCGGTGGAAAGGTAAACGGCATTTTCGTGCGCTGCTCTGGTTCGCCAGAAGCAGCTTAGTCATGCTGGCCACATGACCCGGAAGCTGTACGCCGGCTCCCTCGGCCAATAAAGCGAGATGAGCGCCGCAACCCCAGAGTCGGTCACGACTGGACCTAATGGTCAGGGGTCCCTTTACCTTTACCTAAGATTATCAATAAGAATAATTAGCAACAATACAGTAATTTAACATTTTTGGAAAGTTAAAATAATAGACTAAAAATAGATTAAAACTCTAATCACCTTTCTAAACATCTGGATAGACTTGTCTAAACCAAATGTTGTAAGCAGGTGCCAGAGAGTACTGTGAAGGTGCCTGCCTGATAATAGAATTAAAAAATAATAATAATGGTAGAGTTGGAAGGGATCCTGAGGGTCATCTAGTCCCCCCCTTGCAACACTGGAATCTCAACCAGATCATACATGACAGATGGCCATCCAACTTCTGTTTGAAAACCTCCAACAAAGAAGAGTTTTACCACCTCTTGTGGGAGTCTGTTCCATTGTCAAATAGCACTTATTGTCAGAAAATTCATCCTGATGTTAAGTTGGAATCTCCTTTCTTGTAACTTTGAATCCATTGGTTTAGATCCTAGCGTCTGAAGTAGGAGAAAACAGGCTTGATCCATTCTCCATGTGAAAACCCTTTAGATATTTGAATATAGGGCTATCACATCTCCTCACTGTAGCTGCAATATATACTTGTCTTTTATCTTATTTTTTAAAACATGGGTGCAAATGTGTAATTGCAGAACTGCCCTGGGAATTGCATTACTCAGGTTTGTTTTTCATTGGCAGTCATTTTGGTTCTCCTATAAAGACAGACCTACTGAATTTGCACTTTCTGAAACAATACACAGACTGAAATGCAGAACCCTCCTTCAAAATGTGCACTTTCCCAAATTTTGTAGTGCAGTTCTCTAGCCAACGAATGTGAAAAAAAATTGTGTTGGCTGGGATACAGTGTGCATAAACATGCATACATTAGGAGAAAATAACATAGGGACATATAACGTATTATGGAAAATTGCATAGAAATTTGTATATTGTTTTAATTTATTAGTACAATTACTTTTAAACTATCATCTTTTTAGCTTTTTGTATTTCATCTGTGTTGTTTTAATTTGTGTAAGTCCCCTTGAGTAGGAGTCTGGGAGAAAGGCTGTATATAAACAGCAACAAGAAGAATAAAAAATGTGCAAATTAGGAGAACTTTGCACTAAAATTCTGATGAATTTTCACGAGGACTTTAAAAACAACAACACAAACTGATATGGAAATATGAAGAACTGAATTTACACTTTGAAATATGAACAAGTGAGGGAAACCCAGATTGACAGATCCACCCATCCCTGGTGGCAGCAGAGCGTGGGACAGATAGGTTGTCATCCTCAAGTCAAATCTATCATGAACAGCACGGCCATGCCCTTCCGCAGCTTATTTTCATTGCAACAGGGCTTCTTCCAGAAGACAACCTCCTGATGGACCCTATGAGTTAGGAGCTGAGGGAGAGAACCATTTGAGGAGGACAGGACCATCTACATCTCAGAATGTGCTGGGCCAGCCCTTTCTATACTTTCCAGCCACATCCCAAAGATACATAGGAAGCTACCTTACACCGAGTCAGACCGTTGGTCCATCTCACCCAGTACTGTCTACACTGATTGGCAACAGCTCTCTGGGGTTTCAGGCAAGATTATTTCCCAACTCTACTTGGAGATGCCAGGGACTGCTTCTGCTTCTGAGCAGATGTTCTGCTACTGAGCTTGGTATCGTTCTATTACTGTATGTACCTTTCTAGGAGATGCCATTAAACTTCTTCCCATGCCCAGATCCTGCTCCTCTCCACCACCACCTGGTCCCTTCTTTTTCTTCAAGGGTATCTCCTGTGCTGCCTCATCTCCTTTTCCTCCACTCTTCTTCCCCCTCTTATTTTTCCTCTCCCTCTCCCTCCCTTCCCGGGCACTTTGTGAACTGCTGTTGCAATGCCGAAGTCCAAAGTTCAGTAACTTGCCTAAGCACACAGATAAATATGAACCTTGGAGAATTTGCATTGCTCCAATGTAAACAGATAGGCGAGGGTCCCTTTATCAGCACTGACTCAGGACAGTTGTGGGGGGTCTGAAGCTGCTTTTTTTTCCTCTTGGGGAATTTTTTTTGTTGGGGGGGGGGGTTGCAAAGGCCGAACCTGCTGCCATTTCTATTCCGCTCCGACGGGTGGCTTCAGAAACATGGTGTAGCAAACACGGGAATCTGCGTCAAGCACGTCGGAAAAACCTCGGGCCTTAGGAGAAGCGGCCAGAACTGAAAGACCATGGTTTCCAAACTCACTCATCTTCAAGTGGAGCTGCTGGGGGCTCTCCTGGAATCTGGGCTGAGCAAGGAGACACTGATCAAAGCCCTGATGGAATCGGACCCCTACCCACAGCATGGCGACAGCCAGCAGCGGACTGCCAGCACAATCCAAGTCGAGAAAAGAGAACCCTGCACAGAACTCACGGCTCTTGCCAATGGGATGGGGGAGTCCAGGATGTCCGAAGACGAGACCTCTGACGATGGAGAAGACTTCACTCCGCCAATAATGAAGGAGCTGGAAAACCTAAGCCCAGAAGAGGCTGCACACCAGAAAGCCGTGGTGGAAAGACTCTTACAGTAAGGGCATCTCCTGCCTAATCTCTCTTTCTTTCTCTCTCTCTCCCTCCCTCTCTCTCTCTCTCTCTCTGTGTGTGTGTGTGTGTGTCCTCTTTTATCCTCTACCTTCTCAAATCACCCTAACCCTTACCTTAGTGCTAGCAGCCGATCTAAAGGCATAGAGATTCATGTTGTAGCACAACAACTGGACAAGAACCCAGCTTCCCTGTCTGAGATCATTCTAAATAAAAAGTATAGTTAAAACCTAAAATTTCAGGCCCATGCCAACAGAGTGCCCCAAAGACCAATTCAGATAAGAAGGTACTTCTTTAGGTGAGGAATAACTTTGGAACTCACTCAGCAAACATCTCTTTTTTTTATCCTGTCCGCCATTTCAGATGTTGCATGGGAGGTAGAAGAGTTAGCCTTGTAGAACCCAGAATCGTTTTTTCTAAACCTGAGCAAGCAAGGAACTATCTTCGGGCAGTTGGGGTTGATGAGCGTGGGGGAACTGTCCGCATAATTGTTCCTACAGCAGAAGTGTTCAAAGATGTGAAATGAAGCGCCATAGAGTTGCCATCATGAGACATGTTCCCCAAACACACAACACTCTTGCCCTCAGTCTCGAATAACTCAGATAAGCCATCTTGTTGTTACTGGCAAAACAGGCATGCTCAAAGTATGTGCTGCCAGCCTTGGACAAAGAGAGGATTCCCTAGGAATTCATGCGAATGTTCCTAGCAGGAAGGTTGTGACCATTCTTTCCCATCTCCCTTACTTTCTTTCCCACTCTTGCTAACCATAATATATCCACAACCTACTTATAAATGAGCTCCTTTGGGGGGGGGGGAGTAAAAACGTTCTTTTAAAACTCCAGGCTGTTGTTGGATCTAATAATATTTATTAGGGGCTGGGGGAGAATCTCTGTACGCAGGGAGGGGATTTACATGAGCTCCTATGGAAGGGCTCCTTGGGGAAAATATGAATGCAAAAACAGCCCCTTCTGTTACTGATAGGGAGAGCTTGTGAAGACCACAGCTCTGATTTTGGGAGCAAATGGAAGGCGGGTCAGTGGGGAATCTGTGGGATAGCTCATTCAGTGGAGCATGAGACTCTTAATCTCATGGTCATGGGTTCGAGCTCTACGTTGGACAAAAAGATTGACAAAAACTAAGCAAAGACCTTGCAATAGCCACCCCTGTGATGCAGATCCCAATTGAGTCACATTAATTAGCTGTACTGCTTTTGCTTCTGAGCCCAGTGTCACAAGCAAAGCAAGAGGATCTTCTTACCTGTGAGTGGAAGGAGAAAGGCCTCAAGACTCCAAAAGTCCTTTTCTTCCACCATTGTTCCTTCTTGTCTTGTATTTTCTTTCTTTCTCCTATTTTTAACCGCATCCACCCCCTCAAATCATCTTTCTTTGCTCATTTCCCCTTTTTGGGGTCGATCTTTAAAACTCCCCGGCTCCTAAATGACCCCTTGCATCACCCCACCTTTCCCCTCCACCTCTCCCAGAGTCTGTGTCGAGATCTAGGGTCAGTTTGATTTCCAAAGCCTCAGGACTGAGCTGGTTACTAATTATCCAGTGGCTTTATTATTTCTCTTTTGTCTTATAAATTTATAAACGAAAAGGCTCAGATAAGCTTTTTGATCATTAACTTTTGATGATTTGTCAGGTGTCTCCTCTCAGAGGAAGCCAAAGGAGTCAGGAGAACACCTGTTCTCCTCTCCTCTTTTGTGATGGACGTCCGTGAAAAGGTGAAAGAGGAGGAGGATGGTGCTATTAGGATTTGGAAAGGAGCGTTGCGGGTGGGTTCACACTGGGCTCTCAAGTGATGGCAAGTTTAAAATGCCTCCGATGCTTAGTGGGCTGTAGTAAAGGCAATTCGACTAATTCATGAAAAATGGATTTCAACTATGAGGACACAACATTTCATATGGCATATTTGAGCATTCAAAGCACTTCACAGGCATTATCTCAGTAATCCTTCCAGCAACCCTATTAGGTAGCTCAGTACTACTACTATTCACATGCATTATCTCCAGCAGAATATAAAAACATAACAAAACGTCAAATGTTAAAAACTTCCCAATATAGGGCTGCCTTCAGATGTCCTCTAAAAGTTGTGTAGTTCTTAATTTCCTTGACATCTGATGGGAGGGCGTTTGACAGGGAGGGCACTACCGACGAGAAGGCCCTCTGCCTGGTTCCTTGTAACTTCACTTCTTGCAGTGAAGGAACCACCAGAAGACCCTCAGAGGTAGACCTCAGATCTCAGCTTATTGATGGGGGTGGAAACACTCCTACTAGGTAGGTCAGTAGCATTACTATTCTCATATGCAAAGGATCAAGGCTAAGGGAGTGGCTTCTCTAAGGGGCCTCCCATATGTCCTTTTAATTTGGGGTTCATTATTATTTTTATGATGGTATTGGGCATGTTATACCCAATTATACCGATCCTGCTTTGAATACTATTTGTGCCTGCAAAGGTTTTAGGGTGGGCATGCTGATTCATTTCCATTCAGTGGATCTCCAGGAATGTCCTGGTAATATCCTGTAACCTTTTATACTACAAATGTTCTGGGCAGGGGAGGAAGGGTGTTGCACTATAGTGCTAAAGTGCCCCTCTAGAAAGCAATAAAGCAGCAACACAAGTGAAGCAGAGTAGAACAACCAATAAACTGGAATGGTTTAGTGTGGATGGTCCAGTATAAATCCATCACTGGTGCACTGTTATTGCATCAATGCTGTGTTGCAGAACACACACACACACACACACACCAGTCTGGACGGACCCTCTGCCCACTGTTGTGAGATCTGAACCAGAGATGAACCAGTTCACACTTGTAGCCACTCCACCAGACCACTCCACCAGGTTTAGACAACCAGCTCTTAGTTCTACCTATATCTGCTCGGTGCATTTTAATGAGAGGGAGTGTGGTGTATTGGTCAGAGCAGCCTCCACAAATTCAGTGCCACCCAGCTGTTTTGGGCTGCAACATATCTACACGGTTGTATTATACTGGAGTTGATGGCAGTTATAAAAACAAAACATCTGGAAGGAACCAGGTTAAGAACATAAGATGAGCCTGTTGGACCAAGCAAATACCCCATCTAATCCAGCATCCTGCCCTCACAGTAGTCAACCAAGTGCTCCTAAGGGAAACCCTCAAAGCAGGACTCAAGCACAAGAGCACAACCACCTTCTGCCATTTCCAGCAACTGGTATTCAGAAACATGAGTGTGAAAGCAAAGCTAGTAGCCATCAACAGCCCTCTCCTCTGTGAATTTGTCTAATCCTCTCTTGGTGTCATCCAAGTTGGTGGCCATCACTGCCTCCTGTGGGAGTGAGTTCTATAATTTAACTATGTGCTGTGGGAAGATTTGGGAAAACTGAGTTAGAGAGGCAGAGTGGACCTGCGTTCAAATCCTCACTCAGTGACGAAGCTCACTTGGTGACCTTGGGCCTGTCACCAACCTTCAGCCTGACCTATCTCAGAGGGTTCTTGTGAAGATGAAGTGGAGAGGGATGGGGCTATGAACTCTGCCTTGAGCTCCTGTTTTAGGAGAGAGTGGTGTGGTGCTCAGAACCTGCTTGTGGGCTTCCTCCTTGGGGCATCTGCTTGGCCACGGTGAGAAGAGGATGCAGGACTAGATGAGCCACTCTTCTGATCTAGCAGGCTCTTCCTATGTTCTTAACTATATTTAAGATGTATACAACAGCTTTTGGAGGATGCATCCAAAATGCTATGGGACTTTGGGTGGTAATAGTTGGGAGTGGCTGCCTCCTCGTTACCCTTCTAGTGGCAGGTGAAGACTTTTTTTGTCCCAAATGGATTTTGGGAACTATTTTTAATAGATTAGAGTGGCTGCCCCCTTTTTGTCCTTTTACTCACAGGTGAAGAGTTTGTTGTTCCAACTGGCTTTTAGGAACTCACTGCTTTTAACAAAAGAGCTGGCACCACACTGTTTTTATTGTAATTATCCGTGTGTTTAAAATAGATTTTTATATATAGTTTTAATTCTAACCATGTTTAATTTTAATGTTTTTTTCTATGTTTTCAGTTGTTATTATTTTTATCTGTAAGCTGCCTCTAGTCCCTGCCAGAGTAAAAGGCAGAGTATAAATAAATTAATCATTAAGTTCAAGCCAACAGGGAATTCTGCTGTGCAAAGCGCATAAAGTTAACAGGGATAAGGCAAGAACATAGCAGTGCCCCAGAGATCTTTCCAAGGTTCTGCTTATGATAGCATTCAAAACCTACTACTTGAGGTGGCTGCCTCACTTTGTACTATGTGTCTCAGGCCTGATCAATCATGCCATGCACAGCAAATCTGATGTTTTAAGTTCACAATCCAGTTCTATCCCAAACTCGGGTCTGTAACATTAGCAGTCCGGCCTCTGGGTTGCTTCATAGAAATTTCATGTTCTATAGCTAACTACCTCGTGCTTCCCACAGCTCAGGAAGAGAGCAAACACATGCTCAGCCATGCCAGATGATTAGTTTGCTCAATCCACTGAAGCAGTTTGGACTTTGGCTGTAGCAAATGTCCTGATAACACCAAAAGTACCTAGGCAGGTTTTACAGCTGAGCTAACTCCCTCACCAGGAGAGGGTGGGGTTTTTCCCCCCATAAAGGAAAGGGACAGAAGAATAACTGGAATCAGGCATGGCCTCACGTAGGAACCAGCTGCCTTATACTGAGTCAGGATTTATCAGCCCATCAAGCTCAGTGTTGTTGACACTAACTGGCAGCTGCTCTCTGGGGTTTCGGGCAGGTGACATTCCCAGCCTAGTCTGGAGATGCTGCCAGGGATTAAACCTGGGACCTTTGGATGCAATACAGTTGCTTTACCCCTGAGACACAGCCCTTCCCTTGAACAAGTTGTTGCCATTGCATTCACAAAGAGGACCAGGACGTGTTTGGAACAATCCTAACAACATCAAAAAGCTTGTTGGATCAGGCCAATGGCCACCTAGTCCAGCATCCTCTTCTCACAGTGGCCAGCCAGATGCCCCATAGGGAAACCTGCAAGCAGGATTCGAGCACAAGATCCCTCTCTCCTCCTGTGGTTTCTAGCAACTGGTAATCAAAAACCTTGCTGCCTCTAACTGTGGAGGCAGAGCGCAGCTATACTGGCTAGTAGCCATCCATAGGCCCTATCCACCACGATATTTATTGTACTGATACAGCACAAGAAGGAATGAGAGCAGCATTTCCATTGGTAAGAGTCGAGTATTCTGACAAGTGAAGCTAAGAATGTAATTTAAACATCAGTGGGGAGACCGACATAGCCATCTTAAGTGCTGTAAATCTGCTCCAGCAGTGGGGTTTTTTTCCAAGGAGTTTCCTTCTGCAGAAATATTAAAAGATGATCAAGGATTCCTCTCAGGTTGGCCAAACCAATGTGATGCCCGCCAGATGTGGCTGGGGCTGATGGGAGCTGGGCTCAAAAAACATCTGGAAGGCACCCTGTTGGCTACCTTCCCCTCCTCTTGGGAGAGTATCAGTAATGGCAGAAAAACTTACTTGGAAGCAAGTTTTGTTCACCACTACCAATCTTACCCTACAATGTGCAGCCTCAGAGGACTCTATGCTCTGTGCTGGTAGTTGCCGGTAGACGAGCGCTGAACAGAATCCCAAAAGCCTGAAAATCTCTGTGCTATAGAGAACAATCATTTTCTGTTGCTTCTTAGTGCCATTACTTTGTTCAAATTATAGAAGCGGAGAATTAAAATGGAGTGTTTAAGATCAATTTTTAAAATGTGTTAGGATTGCGTTTTTTCCAAGAGGAAAATGTGAATATTTCCTTGAAGAGCAAACTGAAAATATTGTGTGTGTGTGTGAGAGAGAGAGAGAGAGGGGGGGGGGGGGATTTAAAATTGCAATATTAAGTTAATCAATTTGGGAAGGCAGGAGTAGGAAAGTGGATTGTATTTTTTGATGCGGTGGAGTTTTTTAAAATTTAGATTCTGTTTTGCTGCGAATGGCAACGGCTGTTGGGGCTCTGGGCTCAAATTGCAACATCATATTTGTTGTGTCACACAGTACACAGGCCAGCCTAAAGGCCAAATTCAACAGAGGGGGGGAAATGTTACCAGGAGGAACAGTTCTTACCTTTCTTCCTCCTCTGTCCTTTCCAAGTCCAATTTATTCAATGAAATCAACAAAGATGCAGGCTTCAGGGTTCAAAGACCAGGGATGGTGCGAGCGGTGGTGATCCAGGGCTTGGTCCGAAGCAGGAATACCAAATTAGTTTTCAAAGGGATCAAAGGTCCTCTTTCTTGTACCAAGAATGGGTCTCAGAAACCCAGCTCAACATTGCTCAAGGAAGTGGTGGAGAATAATGGGGTGGAGAGGCAGCATAGAAAATGAATAGCAAGAAGACAGATGTTGGAAAGCGGGCAAGTTAAACCAAAATAAAAAAAGGAAACTAACATTTAAGCGAAAGGCTCTTTAGGACTGGAACATCGGAGGCATTCCCCCCCATGAATGTTGCTTTCCCAGTCCTCCGGGATTGGGTTTTCTTTTAATGCTAACAACTTGATATTTACTTTCCATTTAAATTTGTGATGCTGCTATAAATTATCAACCAGGCTCTTGTTCCCTTTGAGTTTATAACTAACTACCTGGGTTACTTATTGTTCAGGTAACAAAAGGGAGGTGAGAAGCCCTTAAAAAAAGGGACCTCAGAAGCCCAGCGAAAAGGGAAGCTTGAACTGAGGCTGGGAAAAGGGTCAGAGAAGGATAATAAGGGGCACCAGTGTCAGCAGGCCGAGGCCTAGCGGGTGGGAAGCAGCCTGCGAGACAGTGAACATTGAACAGGACCACTTTGAACTGCGCTATGAAAGAACGAGCTAGTTCACGCTTCAATCATCTGAAAGAAGCTCAGGGTTTCCCTTAACTCCGTGTTTTGTTTGTTTTAAAATGTGTTCCGCTGCTTTTTGAGGAACTTCCTCCACAAAGCAGCTTCACAATCTCCACTAAAAAAACCCAACTCCACTAAATAACAAAATAGAAAAATGCAAAATACAGGAGCACAATAAAACAGCAATATGGAGTGGAGCACAGGAATACAATACAAAACTGTTCAGCTCTTTATTATCGTCAATGACCAGTATTCATAGAATACAAAATGTAAAGCATGAGTGGGGAGTGCTCTGGTGCTCGAATCCTGCTTGAGGGTTCCTCACTGGAGCATCTTGTTGGCCACTTTAAGACCAGGACTATAGTGAGGCCCCTTTGGCCTGATCCAGGAATAGGATAGGAATAATGTGCCATAATGTTCTAAAGAGGTTGACTCAACAATCTCCATGTTGTGCATACAACTTAATAGCTACAGTGGTACCTTGGTTCTCAAACTTAATCAGATCCGGACATCCGTTCCAAAACCAAGGCGTTCCAAAACCAAGGTGTGCTTTCCCATGGAAAGCGATGTAAAACAGATTAATCCATTCCAGACTTTTAAAAAGAACTCCTAAAACAGCAATTTAACATGAATTTTACTATCTAACGAGACCATTGACCCATAAAATGAAAGCAATAATCAATGTACTGTACTATAAAATAAATAAGACAGTACTGTATTGTAGATTATACCTGCACTGATGATAGTCATTGTTTGGATGAGGGGCTTTTATCCATTTCTGCAGTCACATAATCAATCAATCAATCAATCAGTAGCTGAACAGGGTTCCACACGAATACCAAAACAAATTAACCAGAAAAGCCTCAACAACAAAAATGCAAAATAAATAGCAAAAACAAAAGCTCCAAACTTAATCCATTTCGGAAGTCCATTTGACTTCCAACAGCCAACAGCCACATTGGACATTCGGCTTCCGAAAAAACGTTTGAAAACCGGAACCCTTACTTCCGGGTTTTCGGTGTTTGAGAACCAAGGCATTTGAGAACCAAGGTACCACTGTATATAATAATATTACTATTACAATTAATTTATTAACCACCTTCTAAACCACCATCTCTGGGCCCTTTACACATAAGATAATGAAAAACACTTTATAAACACAAAAACGACAAATAAATTTAAAACAAGACTAAAACCCTAACAAGTAGACACTCATGGTAAATGTAAATTTATTTTCAGCCTGCTAAACAGAGGAGACTGAACAGCATCTTCTAGTGTTGACCCAACATCTACTACCAGAAATGTCATTGGTTGATTCTCCTTGCTTCTTAGGACTCATAGGCAGAAAGGACATGAAGGGTCATCTACTGTAGTCCAACCCCCTGTAACCCTCTTTCATGTAGTGTGTGCTTTCTATTCCTTCCAGAGAGGATCCCTGGAGGGTAGCCAAGATGGTGAAATCCTACCTACAGCAGCACAATATTCCCCAGCGGGAGGTGGTAGACACCACAGGCCTGAATCAATCCCACCTCTCCCAGCATCTCAACAAGGGCACGCCCATGAAAACTCAGAAGAGGGCTGCCCTCTACACCTGGTACGTCCGCAAGCAGCGAGAGGTGGCTCAGCGTAAGTACAGCAACCAGCAGCTCTTTCCTAGCCCCAAAGCACGTACCAGAGCAAGGCCATTTTGTACCTGCTCAACAGTCAGCCCAACATTTGCAAGGGATTCTGGGCCAGGTTGCAACACTCGTGTGCCATGATGCTTGCTGAATTTCCATGCCTGCAAAATGTCGCTCCTGTTAGTTGGACAAAACATGGCCAGCAGCTTCAAATGTGCTGCAAGGAATAAATGAATTCAGTGACTGAAAGTTGCTGCCCGAGGTGTGTCTAGGAGTTGGCCAGGTTGGCCCCTGTCAAGGGTGCAGGCCTAGCAGGCACAAAAACTGTGCCTTTCCACTCCTGCTTGGAGTGACTAGGAACCCGCCAGCCAGCTCCACCGCTGCCCTGGACGGCCAGGCAAGGTGGGTAGGCTCCTCTGGTTTTCAACATTGTGCTATATCAACAGCTAAACATCACAATATACTGATATATCACCATGTCTGAAATAAGGATGGAGCTATGTAGAGGCATTGGCTGGCTGCACGGTTTCCCCCACATTGTGATTTCTGCATAGCACCCACCCACACATATCATGATTTGCGATATATTGCCAGGTCAAAAATTACGAAACCGATATCACGATATGGACTTCAAACTAGTTCTGGATGATATATATCATCCAGCCCTACTGCCAAGGGTGCAAGGGATGGGGAAGCACTGATACAGGTCCTTGCCAAAGGCACAAGGGAGCCTGAGCCTCTCGTTGCTCAGAACCCAAAGGACCCACTCCCATAGAAGAGGCTGACCACGGATCCTCTGCCTGGGCCTGTCAGTCAGCCTGCTGTGGGGATCATTCATTCATTCCTACTGCAGAACCAAAAGGAAGTCTCCATCTATTAGATGAGGCTGCCTGTTGCGTATCTAGATGAATGATCCGGCTCAGGGGAGCATTCTTCAACCCAGCCTTAGAAGATATGCAGGGAGCAACAACTTTCTGTAGGGTGGGCTTCTGTCTTTGGGGATGCTAAAAATAGTATGAACCAGGAAGTGACCTAGCCAGACAATGAGATGGGTTTTTTTCCCTACCCTTAACACATGCTTTTATATCTATGTTTCCATGCAGAAAACCTTTCTGGGGGGACGCAGGGGTACACATACCCTAAGCATTTTGTGAATCTTTGTACTTTTGTCCATTTACTGTATTTATTTTCCCCGATTTGAACTATAAAACAGTGATTTTCTTGAGTCAAAATGAGAGTACCCCTAAACATTTTTTAGAAAATGTTCTAGTGACTCCATTCCCCCCCCATGTGTCATCCCTGCCGCCAACTCATTCAACTTTCTGTATTTCTGCTGAGTTGTTTTTTAGATGCCTTGCTTTGTTTGCCCCCCCCCCCCCGGCTCCTCCCACCTGGTTTCTTCAAGAAATGGACAGTTAATAATAATTATTTTATTTTCAGCCTTCAACTTACGGTCACACAACAATTTAAAATACAACATTAAAAACTGTTTAAAACAATTTAGAATCACAAGGATATGGTGGGTCAGGTGCTAAAGTCCTGGGCAAAGAGATGTGTGTTTGACCAATAATAATAATAATAATAATAATAATAATAATAATAATACTGAAGGAGGGAGTTCCACAACATAAGGGCTGCCCCAGAGATGGTTGCACCTCACCCTTTCTGTGCTTCCAGAATTCACCCATGCTGGCCAGGGCATTATGGTGGAAGATGCAATGGGAGAGGACCTGCCAACGAAGAAAGGCAGACGCAATCGCTTCAAGTGGGGCCCAGCTTCACAGCAGATCCTCTTCCAAGCCTATGAGAGGCAGAAGAATCCCAGCAAGGAGGAACGGGAAGCCTTGGTGGAGGAGTGCAACAGGTGAATGGAGGAAGGTCCCTCTTTTAAGAACGTAAGAACATCAGAAGACGCAGCTGGATCAGGCCACTGGCCCATCTAGCCCAGCATCCTGTTCTTCTAGATGAAAAAACTAATGCAATACATAGCACTTATCCACAATTACCTTTTGCCCTGATGTTTCCAGGCACAAGTCTGTGCTTAAAAGTTCCTTGTCCAAGCATGGGTTTGTTTGTTTGTTTGTTTGTTTGTTTGTTTTGCCCCAGAGTTTTCCCTGCAAAAGCCCGCATTTTAGCACTCCATTGGAGAAAAAGTCCATTCTGGTTTTTCGCAGATTGCTGTTTGCTTCAAATGAGCTTTAAAGAGTGGGTTTTCGCAGGGCAAGCACCAGAGCGGAAAGAAAGGGACTTGGACACGGATATTTAAGGTGCGGACTGTGCCTGGAAAGGGATGGTGAAAGGTGAGTTAGTTAAACTATGGGGATTGCTCCCTCTAAAGGCAGTGATGGCCACCAACTTTGATGGCTTTGGACAGAGGATTGGACAGATTCATGCAATGATAAGCCTATCAAGGGCTACATGCCACGGTGGCCATGCCCTGCCTCCATAGTCGGAGGCAGTGATGTTTCTGAATACCAGTTGCGGAAAACCACAGGAGGAGAGAGTGCTCCTGTGCTCAAATCCTGCTTGCGGGTTTCCCACAGGCATCTGGTTGGCCACCGTGAGAACAGGATCCTGGACTGAATGTGCCATTGACCTGATCCAGCAGGCTCTTACTTATGTTACACAAAGTAGGGGGTGGGAAGAAATGGGTGGGGGAAGTAAATTATTGATTTTGGCTGAGCTGAGGCTAATAATTCCTTGCTCATTCTGCCCCCAGTTTAACTATTTCACCCCAAATTAGACCTAAACATATAATCAGCTATGAGGTCTAGATGAACCTCAGGACTAAAAATGCAAAAGTACAGAGAGATCTGAGCCAACTATGGTTAGACTATAATTAATGCAAAGGAGGCGCCAAAAGTAATTACCTGAAAGCACCTCTACAGTCAAGGACGATGGGATTCTTTTGCACCCTATACTGGGATCTTATGAAATGCTTCATAGCTCAGGGGCTGTCAGCTGTGTGCTCCTCACACCTTTAAATTACATCCAAAGCACATTTTTCCCTCCTCAAATAATTCTGGACACGGTGGTTCACCCTTCACCAAGTTAAAATTCGAAGCAAGAAGTCTTAACAAACTACAGGGCTCAGAATCCTTTGAGAAAGGGGGGGGGGAGTAGCTGAAATATCGCCCCAGATTTCATTCCATGATTTTCCAGGGAAGTGGGAACAGACGTATTTTCCTAACATGGAAAGGAGTGCTAAACGTCCACTAGATTCTACTAGATTTATGGAAGCGGCCTTTGCATCAAGTGAAGGGTCACATTAAAGGAGAAAACTCTCAGGGAAGAAAGCATTAGGGAAATGGAACAAAACACATTCCCACAGGAGGCAGTGATGGCCTCCAATAGGGATGGCTTTAAAAGAGGATTGGACAGATTCATGGAGGAGATTCATTGTGAGAAGAAAATGATGGACTAGATGGGCCACTGGTCTGGTCCAGCAGAGCTCTTCTTATGTTCTTCATGCAGCTCATATATCTTTGGAAATGGTGCAACAGACACACCACTCCTTTAATTTGAAGGGGTTCCCTTTGGAGAAATGGCTTCGCCTTAACACAACCCCCGTCCCCAACCTGACAAATCCATGGCCTTTCTCGGCAGGGCAGAGTGCATCCAGCGCGGTGTCTCCCCTTCCCAGGCCCAGGGTCTGGGCTCGAACCTGGTGACTGAGGTGAGAGTTTACAACTGGTTTGCCAACCGCCGGAAGGAGGAGGCTTTCCGGCACAAGCTCGCCATGGACAACTACAGTGGGCCGCAGCCCGGATCTGTGCCCACCTTGGGCTCTTCCTCGCTCCAGTCAGCAACGCCCCTCTCACCAAGCAAGGTCCATGGTGAGTGTCAGGCACTATTTATTTATTTATTTATTTGTTGTTGTTTTTTAAAAAAATGATATTTATTAAGATTTTACAGACAAAAATGAGTTACAAAATTAAAAAGGAGCAAGTAAAAAAGTAACAAGGAAAAAAATAAAAGGTATAAAAATGCAACAGAAAAAATACAAAATACATAGAAAGTAAAAAAACAATTAAAAACAAATCAGTATCTTCATATCTTATATTTCATTTACTTGTTTCCTGACCTCCTCACACCTCCCTTTTTTGTATTCCAGTTCACATGGTTAATTCAGCAAATCCTTTCCCTCTTTGTTTTTATCTTAATTCTATATCTTAACATATTATAACTTCATATTTTCATCTAATTATCAATCCATTTTTACATATTCTTTTTAACCTTATTGCTAAAGCCGTTTCATTTCAATCCAACATCATTTTAACATTCATTAATTTTACAATATTTCTGCAAATAGTCTTTAAATTTCTTCCAATCTTCTTCCACCAACTCTTCTCCCTGGTCTCGGATTCTGCCAGACATTTCCGCCAATTCCATATAGTCTATCACTTTCATCTGCCATTCTTCCATGGTGGGTAAATCTTGTGTCTTCCAATACTTTGCGATGAGTATTCTTGCTGCTGTTGTAGCGTACATAAAGAAAGTTCTATCCTTCTTTAACACCAATTGGCCGACCATGCCCAGGAGAAAGGCCTCTGGTTTCTTCAGGAAGGTATATTTAAATACCTTTTTCATTTCATTATATATCATCTCCCAGAAAGTCTTAATCCTTGGGCACGTCCACCAAAGGTGAAAGGTGAAAGAATGTACCTTCAAGGCACTATTTATTTATTTGAAATCTCTCTCCACCCACACAACTCTTAGACTTCAGCCAAAATGACTCCTAGAGTAGCTTACGGATCAATCCCCCCCACCACCATCAGTTCCTGCTCTCCAGTTTAGAATCTAAAGGACACAGCCCAAAAGGAAAGAGCGAGGAGGAGGGAGGGAGAATGGGGGAAAGCAAAGTCCAGGTCAAGTTGTTACAAGTTACAGTTCACACAATGGCCAGTTGCAGTGGAAGCATTTCAGATCTTTCTTTCTTTCTTTCTTTCTTTCTTTCTTTCTTTCTTTCTTTCTCGTCCATCTGGCTGGGTTTCCCTAGCCACTCTAGGCGGCTTGCAACAAAATATTTAAAATACAATAAAACATCAAACATTAAAAACTTCCTTAAACAGGGCTGCCTTCAGATGTCTTCTAAAAGTCAGATAGTTGCTTATTTCCTTGACATCTGATGGGAGGGCGTTCCACAGGGCGGGCGCCACTACCGAGAAGGCCCTCTGCCTGGTTCCCTGTAACCTCACTTCTTGCAGTGAGGGAACTGCCAGAAGGCCCTCAGAGCTGGACCTCAGTGTCCGGGCTGAACGATGGGGGTAGAGATGCTCCTTTGGGTATAGCCGGATGGATTGGCTGCTGCTGGGTGACAGTTGAAGAAGAGTCCATGACATGTGGTCTCTCAGCAGAACCAGTGGAGGAAGAAATTGATGATTTAAATAAACTGCCTCACTCTGCCTAAGGGTAGGGCCGGCCCCGTCTGAGATCAGAGCTAAGCGTCCTCAGCTTAAGCACAAATTACTAAGAATTATCTCTCCCTTCTTTTGTTTGTTTATAGAACAATCCCCTTTGCAGCAGCAACAGCAGCAGCAGCAACAACAACTCTCCTTTTCCGACTCCAGCATGAGGTACAACCAGCAGCCCGTCAGTGAGACAGATTCCTCAGATGGCAACCAGCACGGGGGAAGCAATTCCATTGTGACCACCCAGACTATCTTGCACCATGCTTCTTCCCCTGGCCTGTGCTCAGTTAGTTCTGCAGGAGATGCAAAGCTGGTGAGTCAAGCACTGCCTGGGCTCGTTGGCACCACCTACTGTTGGGCTCCCTGCCTTGCGCCCTATTAGTCCCAAAGGGGAACTAGCCTCCATTGGACGGTTGGGAGCCATTTTGTTGCTGCTCTTGTTGAACAACCGGGGACCAGAAATCCTTGCAGAACTCCTGAAAGTCATCCACAAATCTGCCAGTGGTTCTACTTACTGCCAAGCTTGCCAATAAATGCAATTAATATCGCACCACTTCTAAGCTATCCCAAATGTACTTCCCACAATCCTGCAACTCAAAAAGCATGTTGATATTCTTCCCTATTTCTCCTGTGCACAGATCTCTGCTCCTGGGGGCTCTCTCCCCCCAGTTAGCACCCTGACAGCCCTGCACAGCCTAGAGCAGAACCACACCCTGAGCCAGCAAACCCAGAACCTCATCATGGCATCACTCCCAGGCGTCATGGCAATTGGGCCGGGAGACACATCTTCACTTACACCAGCCTTCACCAACACGGGGGCCTCTACTCTGGTCATCGGTAAGTGAGGAGAGACACAGGGAAGGCATGCCATTTGCACACAGCAAACAAATAGCTTTCTAGTTCTCGTTGTGCAGCAAGACTGTTATGTACTGAGTTGAATAGGATCCAAATTGCAGCAGACTGATTGGTCCTAGAACAATAGGATCCAAATTGCAGCAATCTGATAGGTCCTAGAACAATAGGATTCAGAATGCAGCAGTCTGATTGGTCCTAGAACAATAGGATCCAGAATGCAGCAGTCTGATTGGTCCGCAGGAGCCACCCAATCCAACTCCAGATAGAAGTGAATCCGCAATCTGATTGGCCTACAGGAGAATCCCGGAATTAGCCAATCACGTGGGGCCCATTGTGTAAATAATGTATATAAAGCAGACATTTCGGGGGAACTTCCATTCCTCCTTACTACTATGAGCTGAATAAAGAGCATGAAATACACACTCGACTCTGAGTATATTTCAAAGACCCACTGAAGTAAAGCTGCAGAACAGTGCCAGGATGCTTCAAAACGACAAGCACTGGTTCTCGCTTTCCACCACTGCAAATTTCCTGGGGAAAAGGGAGGGAGACTTTGCTCCCTGGCTGGCTGTTACTAGCTGGTGTTTTTTGGGAGGGGAAAATGAACCACTGAAGATGCTCTTTCCTGTCTTCCAGGCTTGGCCTCCACCCAGCCCCAGAGTGTCCCAGTGATCAACAACATGGGCAGTAGCCTCACCACCCTGCAGCCAGTCCAGTTCTCCCAGCAGCTGCACCCATCGTACCAGCAGCCCATCATGCAACAGGTCCAGGGCCATCTCAACCAGAGCCCTTTCATGGCCACCATGGCCCAGATCCAGGCACCTCACGGTAGGTTGGGGAGCCAGCAAGGCAGGGAGGGAGGCTCCCTGGAATTGTGGGCCAAAGACTCACGACAGGCCTTGTTCAACTCGATGCGGGCTACTTTGGACTCTGTGTCCCATCATCTCCAGCTACTCAGCACAGCTGTGTTCTCATCATCTAGCTGTGTTGGGTGGGGCTGATGGGACTTGTAGTCCAAAGCAGTTGCAGGACATCAGGTTGGGGGGGGGGAGGCTGGAGTGGAACATTCCTGCCGCAAGATGCGGTGGTTTAGAGAAAAGGCAAATGCAGAGAGGATGAACCTACCCTTGGCTACTAGACTTGGCAGCTAAACTGAGCCTCCATGGGCAGTGGCAGTCTGCCTCCGAATATCAGATGCTGCAGCGATTGGATGGAAGGAAATGGAGAGGCTCCTATAAGCCACACAGAGCTTTGCAAAGGAAGATCAGCCTGCCCATTTTAAAAGGAACACACGGATTGTGAGGAAAGCGTAGCTAATTGCCCCCGCTTTGTTTTATTATTATGCTTCCTTACATTTACAGTATTTCCCACCATTCCTCCAAGGAGCACAATGTGGCATATGCAGTTCTCTTCCTCGTTTATCCTCACAACAGTCCTGTGAGGTAGGTTAGGCTGAGTGTCGGTGACTGGCCTAAGGTTACCCAGTGAGCTTCATGGCTGAGTGGGGATTTGAATCCAGCTCTCCCAGGTCCTAGTCTCTTAGTCTAACCGCAACACCACACTGGGCCTCCCTTCTTCCACCTCCTCTTAACCCCCACGCCTTTGTACGGCCATCTTGAAAGCGTTCCCTTCCTTCCCCTGGTCGCCTTCTAAAATAACACCCTCCTCCTTTTTCTGTCAGCCCCAGGAGGACAACCTCAGAAGAAGAAGCTGTGGTGGTGGTAGAGAGAGGGAACCTACTCTGCAGGGTTGTTGTTCAGGATGAAACAAGAAGGGCTCCCTTATTAAGAGCATTGAGCTTTTTGGACGAAGGAGAGCAGGGTACAAAGGATGATTAAAAAGCAAATAAGGGATAATGGTCACCCTAGAGATGCTTGGAAACCGGAGTTAACTCCATGGTTCCCTTCTCCCTCAAGAGTCCCCCATATACGGTAACCTCTATTCTCATGCCTTTTTGGTCCCCTAGCTCTCTACGGCCACAAACCAGAGATGGCTCAGTACGCCCACACTGGGCTGCTGCCGCAGACCATGGTGATCACAGACACAGCCAACCTCAGCGCCTTGGCCAGCCTGACGCCAACCAAGCAGGTAAGATGGGCTGAGGGGGAAGCGGGGAAAGGAGGAACCTGGGAAAGATGCCCTGAAATCCGAACTCATCCAACCTCTGTTTAAGCACCTCCAAGGAAGGAGAGTCCACCACCTTCTGAGGCAGTCTGCTTCACTGCTGGACAGCGTTTACCATCAGAAAATTCTTCCTAATATATAGCCGGAATCCCTTTGTCATTTGAATCCATCAGTTCAGCCATCCATCGTGCGCTACCCTCTGGAGCAGCAGAAAGCAAGCTGGCTCCATCTCTCATGTGACAGATATTTGGCTATCCTATCACCTCTCAATTTTCTCCAGGCTAAACATACCCAGTTCCCTTAACCGTTCCTCATAAGGTTTGGTTTCCAGACCCTGGATCATCTTGGTTGCCCTTCTCTGCACACTTTCCAGCTTGTTGATATTCTTCTATTCAATCAATATAATTTTAATTTTAATTTTAATGTCTGAAATTCCCAAAACCAGCAGTTTCCATATTTCTTATTGTGTTGTTAATCTCTCTCTCCCTCCCACATTTTACAGGTGTTCACATCAGACTCTGAGGCACACACAGAGACTGGGATGCACACGCCCCCCGTGCAGGCTTCCACCATTCACTTACAGAACCAGGATGCCACCATCCAGCACCTCCAGCCCAGCCATCGACTCACCTCTAGCCCTGCTGGTAAGTGGGGGTGGGGAGCCCTGCTTTGAAGAATGTGCAACTGAAGCTCCTGCCAACTTTGAGGGCTTTCCATTCTTTGGTGGAGCAGGTGGATTTCATAAACATTGTATCCTCAAGACAGTAACTTGATTAGTGTTGGGGCAGTCCATGTGGACTACGACCCCCATTAGCTCTATCAGTATGGCCATTCACCAGGGATGATGGGAGTTGTAGTCCACTTCTGGTGGGCTATCCCTGGAGTTTGTCCAAGCCGTCTCCCCTCAATCTGATGCCTGTCCAGATGTTTTGGACTGCAACTCCCATCAGCCCCAGCCACCACATCTGTGCTGTGGGAATACAAAGAACCACCTTATAGGTTGGCCCATTGTATTGCCTACACTGACTCACAGCTGCTCTCTCTCCAGCTCCAGTATCATATAGTTGCACTGGCCTGGGCCAATGGGAGTTGGGGAAGGTTGTACTAAGCACAGCAACCCTAAAATGCTTGGGAGGGGTGTGTGTGTGTGTATATTCCCTTTTGCAGGTGTAGGAACTGAACGAAGGGCTGTAGCTCTGTGTCAGCGTGCCTGCTTTGCCTGCAGACGATGGCTGGTTCAATCCCCAGTATCTTCCAGTAGGGCTTGAAGCAACCCCTACCTGAAATACGTTGCTGCTGGCTAGTGTTGACCCTGCTGAGCTAGATGGACCAATGGTCCATCGCAGTGTAAGCCAGCCTATCTTCTTAAGGAAACGCAGTGTAAGGTAGTCTCTATGGGAGTATATTGTATTTAATTATGGGGTATCAGAGTTTTTAGGGGGCTAAACAGGCTGGGATAGCAGGCTTGTTGGTTTTTGAATGTCTGATATAGGTTTTTTCAATTTCGTTGTTCTGTATGGGACAATGACAATAAAGATTATCGTATTATCATATCATATCAAGTGATGATCTCTCCCTGCTTACACTCACATGTGCTTATGGGTGTTTCCCCTCCCCTCTTCTCCTTTCCTTCCAGTCTCCTCCAGTAGCCTGGTGCTCTACCAGAGCTCCGACTCCTCCAACAGCCACAGCCACTTGCTGCCGTCCACTCATGGCGTGATAGAGACTTTTATCTCCACCCAGATGGCCTCTTCCACTCAGTAGCCTGATGACCACCCAAGGACCCAAAGTGCAGAGAAGCCTCATTCGCAGCTGCCACCACCCACTGATGTCTGCCTGCCTGCCTAGGATGGAGGGGGCAGCCAGCCAGGGGGCCTTTTTTCTCCTCCAGGACGTTGTGCACACACACCCTTGTTCCACATCCCAAACCCTCCTCAAGAGGTGAAACTATGCGCACAAGGAACAGAACGGACTCCCTTCGAAGATGGTGGACTCTCCTTTGTTGGAGGTTGGATGGCCATCTGTCAGGGATTCTTTAGCCATGATTCTTAGGTTGAACTAGATTAGCCTCCTCTCAGACAACTGTTTTATGAATGCCAAGAGGAACTTTGTGCCTTTTCAAACAAGAGAGGAAAGGCTGGCTGGCCCATGCTCTTTGACTGCCTTCAGGACAGGACTGCAATAGAAGCTGCAGCCCAGCTTAGACCAGGCAAGAGCCAGCCAGCCCTGCAGGCAGAAGCAAGGAGGGCTGGGCTCCAACAGCAGCGAGAGACACGTGTCCTATACATTTCTGCCGGCAGGTTGAAGCTTCAGGCAGACCCTGTGCAGGTAGGTGCATCTTGGTGCAAAATGAGAAAGAAAACCATCCTCTTACTCATTGTTCCTGCCAATCATCAAGATGCAAGCTTGCCCGGGGTCAAGCAAATGCCCTTGAGGAGGAAACTCAGGAGCTCAGCCAGGCCACGAAGCCAACTGGTCAGAGCCAGAGACCCTATAAAGTCTCCTGCTCATCGGCGTGAGAAAATAGGACTTTGGCTCTTGGCAGCCACAGATCGCCTTACAGGAGCCACGTGTGACACCTTTGCAGGAGAAGGGAGGGAAAAGAGAGGCCCAGCTTCAGCTGTGATTTCTGCAATGTTGGACTAGATGAACTTGCTCTAAAGTAGTCTTTAATAGGAAGAACGTATGATACAGGAAGCATTTTCAGAAGCTCAATTTTGGGTGTGGCAAGAAGCAAAAGCGCAAAGGGCAGTGGAAGTGCCTCTTACTGTTTTGTGATAGGTTAACATTTCAGCCACACACAGAAGTCCCTCCAGCCAGCCAATCAAGTGCAGTTCAGAGACACATTCCAGCCAGGCAAAAACCACTTAAGGGCACTGAGCAAGGCCAGTAAGGAATGTGGCCTGACAAGAATCATGAGGGCCAGAAAGAGGAGGTTGGAAGTCCGCTTTCCCCTGTCCCTGCTACTGAACGATGCATTCGTACAGGCAAGCTGTGAAACCCATAACATACGGTTCAGATGCAGAATCTGGTAATGAGCACTGCATTCTAAGAACTTCACTTTGCTCTTACAAAACAAGCAAACCAAGTTGCCAGTCCTCTTGGTAGCTAGAACAAAACAATGCCCAAAGCAAAGCCAAAGATTGTGTGAGCAAGGGCATTGTTGAAGCTTCCAATAGTCAGGGAGTAGGTCTTCACACATGGAAACCTCAACCTCCCCAGTTATCTCCACAGCAAGCCCCCCTACACCCTAACCCAGTGTTTCTCAAACTTGAGTCCCCAGCTGTTGTTGGACTATAGCTTCCATCATCCCTGACCACTGGGCCTGCTAGCTAGGGATGATGGGAGTTGTAGTCCAACAACAGCTGGGGACCTAAGTTTGAGAAACGTTGCCTAACCCGAAGAACCCCTAGCCTCCTTTCCCAGCCTACACAGAATCCCATTTACGGCATTAACTGTCCAACACACCCTGATAAAGACACTTAAAATGCATAATTTGCACCAGAATCACCACAAGACATTACTTTTTAAAGTACAGGTTTTCAGTTCCTCCCCCCCGCACCCCAGTAGCTCTCATCATTCCTTAGTTTGAAAAGCACTCAAGAGAGAGATAGAGACACATCATTGGCCTAGCAAGAGAAGGAGACGATCTGAAATGTGAGCATTCCTTCCCGTCCTAAATCACGCCAGCTGCAAAGTTGGCAGAATTCAATTTTCCTCCCTGTATAATTTCTTGGGTGGGGGGATGGCACCCCTTGGGCTCTGTGATGATGACCGATTTCTCAAGTGTCATGCCAGAGCAGGAAAAGCCCTTTTTGGTGGCTAAAATGAAACCAAAACGTACCGCAGCTGAGGGGTAGGGTGGGGAAAGAAGCGAAATCAGTAGTATTCAAGCACTGCAAACAGAAGGGGGGAAATAGCACCCAATGATACCCACCCAATAACCCCCGGGAACTTTAAACCATCTCCCTGCTTATTTGGAGTCTCAATAAAGCAAGCATCACTGCCCAAAGGGTTTGCTGTTCCACACAGTGCCAGAGGCCTCTTCCGGCCATCAATCGCCAGTTTGGCTCTATCTTGTAAATATATTTAAATTGTCAGTAAATCAAACAGAGGGTGGGCAGGGATTGTTATGTATAAGACTACTGTGTCATGCTGCCTGTTTATAAAGCTAAGCAAAGCTGTGGCTCAGTGGACTTTTAATAGCTCCCTCCCCGGCAAAAAACTGCAAGTATAATCAAGGTTTGGTAAGATCTTTGTCCAGAGTTCCATGCCTAAGGAAAACGGAGACAAAATGTTTGCCAGTTGCCAAGAGACAAGAGAGGAGCCATATTTTAGCAATGCATCTTTCTTTTTTCTTTTTTTTGGATTCTTAGCAAACCTGGTGCCCCCCAGATCTGCTTGGACTACATATTCCATGAGCCCCGCCCAGCACGGCCATATTATTTATTTATTTCCAGCACTTTTTCACCCCACCGTGTAGCCAAAGCAGCTCTCAGAGAAGCTTAAAGGTAAAGGGACCCCTGACCATTAGGTCCAGTCGTGGCCGACTCTGGGGTTGCGGTGCTCATCTCGCTTTATTGGCTGAGGGAGCCGGCGTACAGCTTCTGGGTCATGTGGCCAGCATGACTAAACCGCTTCTGTTGAACCAGAGCAGCACACGGAAACGCCATTTACCTTCCCGCCAGAGCGGTACCTATTATCTACTTACACTTTGACATGCTTTCAAACTGCTAGGTTGACAGGAGCTGGGACCGAGCAACGGGAGCTCACCCCGTCGCAGGGATTCGAACCACCGACCTTCCGATCGGCAAGTCCTAGGCTCTGTGGTTTAACCCACAGCGCACCCGCATCCCTCTCAGAGAAGCTTACACAAAATCAAAACAAGACTGTGCCTACCCTCAGGCTTACCATCTGAAAAACACAACACTCCAGGGAAAAGAGACAGGGAAGATAGGGTGATCTTTGCCTGGTGGAGCTGGAAATTGTGGGGTTCCATTCCCCCCCAAACAGCACTATGGAGGTGATCACTGGTTTGCAGGTCTGCTTCAGGAGAACAGGTCTGCTTCAGGAGTGTCTAAAACACCTCTCCAATGATGTGCCCAAGCCAGGAAATTACCTGGCACTGCTGCGGGGGGGGGGTGTCTGTGTCTGCTCCTATTGCTTCATGGCATTTGAGGCTGAAGACCAGCAGGAAACCACTTTAGTTCCACTTGAGGGAACCTGGTCCCTGGGGAGAAGATCCTGGGAGAGGTTGTCGCTGTGTTTTCCTTGGCAATCCTCCTGCACCTTTAACTTCAGACAGGATGCAGAGATTCAGTAAGCAAAGGCGGCTGTCAGAACTCCCTCACATGAGGGGTTTTTTATTGTCTTTTGGTTTTGCCTGCTGTGCTGCATCTACAATAGGAAGCTGATGTTTGAGACGGAAGAATCAGACGAAAAGGTTGACGCCTCTACCGGAGCCACCACTCATTTCCTCTATTGGTGCCCATCAACTGCACTGCTCGGAGGGGGCACTGCTGAAGGCATCTCATGTCCCAGAGGTGCCCTTCGTTTAGGTGGAATTCCTGCTTTGCAGGGGGTTGGACTAGATGACCCTTTACAAAAGCAGTTTACAAAAAGCATAAAGCAATAAAATTATTAGTAAAAGCAATTATTATAAAATTAAAACCAGCAACAAACTAAAAACACAACAGCGTTCTTGTTGCTATGGCTGATGGCTAACTAATGCACATAAAGTTTTATCCATCCATCCATCCATCCATCCATCCATCAGCGTTCTAGATAGTGGGGTAGGCTTCTTATGAAAACAGAGTTAATTCCCTTTTTACCTTTATCAGAGTGTTTTCAAGAAAGACAAAATGACACAGTTCTCTTCAGATTACAACACTTTATTGATTAACAAGTAATAAGCACTAACAAGTAATAAGCACTGTTAGGACGCGGGTGGCGCCGTGGGTTAAACCACAGAGGCTAGGACTTGCCAATCAGAAGGTTGGCGGTTCGAATCCCCGCAACGGTGTGAGCTCCCGTTGCTTGGTCCCTGCTCCTGTCAACCTAGCAGTTTGAAAGCATGTCAAAGTGCAAATAGATAAATAGGTACCGCTCCGGCGGGAAGGTAAACGGCGTTTCCGTGCGCTGCTCTGGTTCGCCAGAAGCGGCTTAGTCATGCTGGCCACATGACCCGGAAGCTGTACGCTGGCTCCCTCGGCCAATAAAGTGAGATGAGCACCACAACCCCAGAGTCAGTCACGACTGGACCTAATGGTCAGGGTTCCTTACTAAGCACTAAGCAATAAGGACTCATTAATTCATCACTCATTCATTCCTTTCATACCTACCAGATGGTCAGACTCACTGAAAGAATTGGCCAGGTTCTTTTATGAGTCTCTGGATGGCATCCTCTGCAGTAGGACAGCACGCAAAGTTCCCAAGGCCTTCCAGGTCCTTATATAGTCTCAGGTCCCCATATGATTACATTGTCTTGTATTGAAGGAGGTTGGACTAAATTCATATCTGCATAAAGACCCATCAAACATACTAAATATATCACATTTGGTTCTCACAGAGTATTCCTGTGACTTAAAAACATCTTAGTAAATCACATATATTCTGTAAGAGATTCAACATATACCTGAACATTCATATTAATATTGTGTCATGAGGTTATGAGGATTCCTTCTTGTCAATTCCTCTTATTTTCTTATAAGAGCATCTGTTTTGTAACTGAAGGAGCAGCATCAATGCAACACACACAACAGGTTGACACTGCACGCACATGCACACACACCCCATCACAGAGAATGGGGAACTGGAAACCAACTCTGTTGAAAGAATACCTTTAATATTACCATGACACCTTTATTCACACCCAATTCATGAAAACACCTTTCCAACCTCACAGGCTTGCCTAAACGAAAATGTTCTTATCAGACGTCGAAGAGCAAGAGTACAGTGTAGATGCTGCTACACTAAAAGATTCTTCTTGTTGTTTCAAAAAAAAAGCATCGCAACCAACCCTTTGTGGATCATTTTTCTTCTGACTCACGTGCCTCCTGCCAATTGATTTTATAGGCTTCTTATCCATCAAGCTTAGGCAGGCATATGTGGCCGTTCACTTTTGGAGCCCCCAGCCTTCATCAACCCCAGCCAGGGATGACAGGGGTTGCAGTCCAAGGAAGCTGCAGGTTCCCCATTCCTGGTTTTAAGAGATCAGCTGGATACAGCCCTATTTCTGGCGCACACACAAAAGGGTTTCCTGCAGGCTATTTTGGGATTGGTAAAGTTTAGAGAGAGGAAGGTGCTGGCAGGCCTGCCGCTCAGGGCTCTCCCTACCGCCTTTGGGCACCAGCAGGGCCGAGTGCTGCTGCTCGCTGCAGCACCGGGTCCCAGGCAGCCTCCCAGAGGCGCCCCAAATCCTCCTCCTCGCTGCTGCTGCTGCTGCTGTTGCTGCTGCGGGAACCCCTGGTAGCAGAGATGATGGAAATCCAATCGGTCGCAGTGCATCCTGGGGGCTGTGGTCCAGGCTTCATTGCTCAGCCCTTCCGTAGCCCGGTTCTCTCCCCAGGATTTGGACCACAACTCCCATTAGCATGGCCAGGTGATACTTGGGCCGATGGGAGCTTTACAATGCTGCCTGGGGCTGATGGGAGTTGTAGTCCAAAACTGTTGAATGGAGAAAACGACCCTAAATGTCTTCATTGAGCTGGTCAGCATATGTGTGGAATACAGAACACTTAATTCACTGTCAGAGAGTGATAAGAAGAATAACGAAGAAAGGCAGGTTTGACTTAATTTATATCATTTTGTTATGTACTGAATTGAATAGGATCCAAATTGCAGCAGTCTGATAGGTCCTAGAACAATAGGATTCCGAATGTAGCAGTCTGTTTGGTCCTAGAACAATAGGATCCAGAATGCAATAGTCTGATTGGTCTGCAGGAACCACCCAATCCAACTCCAGGTGGAAGTGAATCCGCAACCTGATTGGCCTACAGGAGAATCCCGGAATTAGCCAATCACATGGGGCCCACTGTGTAAATAATGTATATAAAGCAGACAGTTTGGGGAAACTTCCATTCCTTTCTACTATGAGCTGAATAAAGAGCATGAAATCCATGCTTGACTCCGAGTATATTTCACATTTATTAATAATACAGTTTGACCAAACTGCGGGAGGCAGTGGAAGACAGGAGTGCCTGGCATGCTTTGGTCCATGGGGTCACGAAGAGTCGGACACGACTAAACGACTAAAGAACAACAACCTCGGGTTACATACGCTTCAGGTTACAGACGCTTCAGGTTACAGACTCCGCTAACCCAGAAATAGTACCTCGGGTTAAGAACTTTGCTTCAGAATGAGAACAGAAATTGTGCTCCAGCAGCGCAGCAGCAGCAGAAGGCCCCATTAGCTAAAGTGGTGCTTCAGGTTAAGAACAGTTTCAGGTTAAGAACGGACCTCCAGAACGAATTAAGTACTTAACCTGAGGTACCACTGTAGTGCCTGCCCAGTGCCTACCCCCTCTTTCTGCCAAACAGTGGCCAGAGCACATGGGGTCACAGGTGCCAACAGGTGTCCCTTTGGAGAATAGAAGACACTGTGGAGACTCTTGTGCTTTAAGAAATAGGGTTTATTCGCCTATTTACACCCTCAGTGTGCATGGAGGAGGTCCAGATCTTACAGCATGACCCAAAGCATTGCAGGCAGTCCTTCCTTCTACCTCACCAAGATGGATCTCGGCCTTTCTTCCCCTTTCTTCTTCCCAGAAGCACCTTGTCCTCCCACAGAACAGTTACCCTGGCAACCTTCCAAATCTCAGTCTCTGGTCACAACTAGAAGAAGAAGTTCCTGAAGACCCTCAATGGCTCTCTGTTGTAATGCTCTTCCCTCAGCTAGCCAGGCTGATTTGCATAAGGCAGCCCAGGAATTCCATGTCTGACACAGCCCTGCAGTTTATGTTTTAATCCATATCCCAGTCAAAATCCTAGTATTTATTTGTTCCTAGTGTTTAGGGGGATCCCCTCGTATTTCTATAACAATAGTAATCTCCCTTCCATCTCAGTCGCAACAGCAACTATATGAATAAATTGTCTTAATGCTTTAGAGTGAAGTATACTGAGGCATCTGATCAAGGCCTGTATTTTAAAATGAGCTTAAAGATATATTTGCAAATGTTTGTATGTTTCATGCCAGGCAGAAACCAGCTGGCTAAGTACTTTGGCAGTTGTTTATCTTCCTGCTCTCCTGAACAAGGGTCCCCCTGATTTATAGCAGTAGCAGGAAACAAGTTTCTCAAAGTTGTAAAAGGAAATTACTGGCTGGGAGCAAATGTTACACTGACCCTACATATTACAGAATACAATCAAGCTGCAAAAACACTAATTAAGAGTTGGTAAATAGTAAGATTTATTGTTTAACAGAAAATAATACCATGTGCCTCCCATCAGACTCTAGCCATATTTTCCTAAGGTTTAAGGTATACTGAGAGAGTTAAAGGGCAATAAATTTTGGGAAGAGTTAATGGGAAAAGCAGCTGGCTGGGAAAGGAGGGTGTAAACTGAAGAGGCTTCTTTTGAAGCTGTTTTTACCGAGTTCCTTTTTTACTTTGCAAAGGCCTTTTCTTCTAAAAAGCTATCTATGTTATGTATGAGATTTATTGGCTTAATGTAATTATGCAAAGGATTTAGAAAGTAAGAAATGTTAGATTCTTATTTCATTGATGGTGGGTGGCTACTTGTCTGCCATTTATGGATAGAAGGAAATATAGCTCTTTAGTCTCCCATAAAAGGTAATAGGAAATGGGTGTATCTTTTATGATTGGTTCTAGCAAACAGCCAATAGGAATTTCAACCAGGCTGATTGGACAGAGGCAGCCAAAGGAGGAGCAAGGGGGCTGGGCTGAGGAAATATAAGTACTGGCCATCAGGGCTGGAGAGAGGCAGAGCTTTGGTAACCATATACCACTGTGCCTATCATTTATTTGTCTGACAAATAAATTATTATTTTAATTTCTCTATTGCTGCGTTGAATATTTCATTCCAGCTAAGCGTTAACCACGAGCAGGGTGCTACAATACCTTGTGGTTATGAGCGTAATCTGTAATATAAAATATTTTCAAAGTTTCTTTTTATGCCACATGGATGGCTGCACACTGCATACAAAATAAGTCTGAACATCTGTATATGTGTTTGTCTTAAGGATGTATCTGTATATGAATAGAGTGAGCCTGTGACCTGGACTCAGGAATTAAGTATTTTTCATCACAAAAGAGTGGCCTGGCTGCCCAGGTAATGCAATCTGTGACCATTATTAGGTATCCTGGCAGACAGATTAACAGGTTTTCTGCTGTAGACCACACCCCTGTGATGTATTTCTGCTAGGGACCACCTCCTTCTGTGATGTATGCATTGGGGGGTGGTACTGAGCTACAGGGTGGCAATTTCAAAGTCTATATAAGGGGGCTTGCACACCTTTGTTCTGGGTCTCCTCCCTCCTACGTGTGGGGGAGCACCCTGTTGCAACAGCTTTAATAAAGATCAGGCTTACTAGCTGCTTTGCTTCTCAATATTCTCTGGTTGGCCTCTGTTGGCCTCAATGGTTAAGTACTGAACCATCAACAATGCAAAAAAGGTTGCCCAGTTCCAATTATAACATGCAAAATTCTTTCCACAGCTAAATTTCAGAGTTCTCCCACTCTTAATTGTCTCGTTGTTGTTGTTGTTGATAGATTTTTATTGATTTATCAGGTTTTGTTTTGTATGTATATACCTATGCATTATAGGAACATCATTCCTGACAGAGATTTTCCAGGAAATAACTTTTCATTTCAAACAGGATTCGTGAACCTCTAGGAAGACTCAAACCCACATAAGAAAAATGTTTAATAACTTCTGATTTGTGTCTAAATTAACAAAAGTTTTGTCCCTTTACTTCTTCCACAGCCAAGTGAAGGCTAGGGGCCAGGGCTCGCTCCTCCCCAGGGGCTTCATTCAGGTGTTGCACAAGGTTCCCGTCCTCAAATTGCTCTTCCATTTTAACTGTTGCAAAGAAACAAGGGGAGGGGGAGGAACCAACGTCAAAGTGGAGCCAGCTCTCATCTTTTCTCTCCCCCCACCTCCCACCCTGCCTGAGAATTTCCAGTACTCCAAGGCAAACCATATTCAGATCAATTCCTTTAGGAGGAACAGAATCCAAACATACATTCACACCCCTGGAGGCCCTTTGAGAAGAGACATAGCTCCAGTGGCAGAATATCTGCTTTGACAGAGTTAAGCTTGGTGGATCAGGGGGATGCTCTGGACGAAGTGTATCTTGATTTTAGTAAGGCTTTTGTCAAAGTCCCTCATAATGTTCTCATGAGGAAGCTGGTAAAATGTGAGCTGAATGAGGTAACTGTTAGGTGGATTTGTAGCTGGTTGACTGACCAAACCCATAGTACTTATTAATGGTTCCTCGTCATCCTGGAAAAAAGTGACAAGTGGGGTGCTGCAGGGTTCTGTCCTGGGCAAGTTGTTGTTTAAAGTCTTTATAAATGACTTGGATGAAGAATTGATGGGGTGCATACCAAACTGGGAGGGGTATCTAATGCCACAGAAGACAGAATCAGAATTCCAAATGACATTAACAGATTGGAGAACTGGGCACAAACTAACAGAATTAATTTCAGTAGGGACAAATGTAAACTTCTTCACCTAGGCAGGAAGAACCAGATGCACAAATATAGGATGGGGGACACCTGGAGAAGGATCTAGGGGCCTTGGTGGACCACAAGCTTAACATGAGTCAACTGTGTGATGCTGCAGCAGCAGCAAAAAAGAAAAAGCTAATGTTATTCTGGGCTGCATCAACAGAGGTCTAGTGCCCTGATGCAAGGAAGTCATAGTCCCTCTCTGTTCTGCCTTAGCCAGACCACACCTGGAGTCATATGTCCAGTTCTGGCACCACAATTTGAGAAGGATGTTGACAAGCTGGAAGGTGTACAGAGGATGCATGTTTTTTCCGGATAGGCAGAATCCTTGGAACCAAGCCTCTGCATACGATGTGATCATACTGTACTCCAGAACCGACCCCCCAATACCCCACTTAAGGGAATGGGGGCCCCTAAACCTGTGTACCAACTTCAGGCATGACAAAGCTCTCTGCCTGATCATTTCAACTGTTCTTACAAATGTAACTGATATTTTTAAAAAAACATTACCAATCCTAAAGTGTTGTCTTGCAGAACAAATGCATGTACAGATGCGAAGTCTTACATGCATCCACACAGCATTGAAACAGACTTGGAAAACCTTTTACATAACACATTAAGCTCACATCCATACATCGAGACAAAGCGTTCAGATTGGCTGCTGCCCGAACTTCAGTGGCTGCTGCCCGAACTTCACCACGGTCTCTCTGCTGGGGATGTCCCATGGCAAGAGCCCCCTGCTGATCCCCCTTCCCCCGTGGTGATCTAGTCTCCTGCCTTTAAGAGACTGGGACACTCTCCTGAGATCTGGGAGAGGCTCAGGGAGTATGGACTGCTGGTTACTTGAAAACCTGAATGCTGCATCCAAACGGTTTCCCTCTCGCCCCGCTCCTTTCCCAGGGAGAACCCACTCTACATCAGCACTAAATCAGAGTGGATGTCAACCCAGAGAAAACCCAGATTGCTGTTTGCTCCAAACTGAGTGCTAAAGAGCAGTTTCCCCTGTGGATAAAAAGAAGCACCAGTGTGGATAAACCCAGAGTTAACCACATTAGAGCTATGAGCCCATTGAACCTCGTCCCCTTTCACTAGGCACTGGATTTGGCAACAGGAAATATGTCCTTGACGTAAACAAACCCCACAGCTTACACACTGCAAAGATGTTCCTGTCCTCCACCTCTGACCAGCTTCTTTTCCTTCCTCTTTCAGTCTGGAAGGTGGAAGAGCGACCTGAGGGAGCAATCGGAGGGCTGGATGCACCTCGTGCAGCAGCATTTTGGGGGCTATTGGCAGGCAGCTCCTCATCCTCTGCATCCAATTTAACTATGCACAGAAATAAGGAATCAGGACCATCTCAGACTACCAGTACCGCCCCTAAAAAACCACCAAGGTGAAATTGGGTCCCTAACTCCCTGAGGGTTTGAGACCCATCAGCTACCCTCACCTGATTTAGCTGGCCAGTCGAAGCCGTTCTTGGGGTGAGGTATTGTTTATTTGCTAATGAGTCAGTTTCATTTATTATTTGAGTATTGATAATGTTGTTCGCTCCTATTTATATGGATAGTATGTTTTTCCACCCTATGGATGTTACGCTATACGATTTCCCCCATTCCTCCGCCCTCCCCCCCAATGGTATTATGGCTGCCGAGAGCATATAACACCAGCCCTGAAAGACCTACATTGGCTCACAGTATGTTTCCAAGCACAATTCAAAGTGCTGGTGCCGACCTTTCAGGCCCTACACAGCCTCGGTCCAGTATACTTGAAGGAGCGTCTCCACCCCCATTGTTCAGCCCGGACACTGAGGTCTAGCTCCGAGGGCCTTCTGGCGGTTCCCTCACTGCGAGAAGTGACGTTACAAGGAACCAGGCAGAGGACCTTCTCGATACTGGTGCCCCGTCCGCCCTGTGGAAAGCCCTCCCATCACAATGTCAAGGAGATAAAGAAGTCTCTGACTTTTAGAAGACATCTGAAGGCAACCATGTTTAGGGAATTTTTTAATGTTTGATGTTTTATTATGTTTTTAATATTCTGTTGGTAGCCTCCCAGAGTGGCTGGGGAGGCCCGGCCAGATGGGTGGGGTATAAGTAAATGGTGGTGGTGGTTTGGTGGTGATTGTATATTTTTCTTTGCTGTAAGTTACTTGGCAAACAACTAATAAGATATATAGATATAGATTTTTAAAAAGAAGATTGTTCCAAAGAAACTCCCTTAAAAGAATCAAGTCTTTTTGTCCTAAGAAAGTCTTTAAAATAATTCCTCTAATATCTTTTTTTTAATTGTTCACTAGCACCTTAAAGACCAACTAAGTTTGTTCTTGGTATAAGCTTTTGTGTGTCTGCACACTTCTTCTGATATAACAACAGCAGCAGCAACAACAACAACGGAATTTTAGAGCTGGAAGGGACCCCCAAGAGCCATCTAGTCCAACCCCTGCAACGCAAGGAAGTCCAAGCAAGGTGCCAGGGTGGACCAGAAGGAACTGCTGGGTATCCTTAAACCAGAGCGTGTTTTTGCACTGTGTTCAGACCCACCTTGGCCATGGGGAGACCCACAGGTCCCTTTCCTCGTCTTCTGCTGCAGGGCTGACTGCCAGCTGCTGTTGCGGTTCCTGCGGAATATGTGAGGCGGGTGGCTGTTAATCAGTTCCTTCAGGCGCTTCAGCACCCCTTTCAGGGGCTTCTTCTTTGCCACCATTTCTGAACAAGAAGAAGAAAAAGCCATGTCATTGTTTGGGGAAGCAGCACCAAGCCAGGCTGGGAAAGGAAGGTGAAGAAGACTCAGGAATTTCACTGCTATCCAGAGGAACAGTGCAAACAGTCAGCCTTCACGCGTCCCAAAAGGTCCCTGCCAGATGTTTTGGACTAGAACTCCCATTAGCCCCCCAAACAGCTGTCTTCAAATATCTGAAAGGCTGTCCCACCATGGAAGATGGAACAAGAGGGCAGGACCTGAACCAATGGATTCAAATGAGAAGGACAGATTGGGAGAGGCTATGGAAAACAGATTTGAAATTCATGGCATGTTGTTCACTAAAAGAAAACTACAGGAAAATGATCTACCAGAGGTATTTGGCTCCTGTTAAATTAGCAAAAATGTACAGAACAAGTACAAATACTTGCTGTAAATGTAAAGAAAAGGGTACCTTTTATCGTATGTGGTGGACATGTAAAGTAGTAAAGAAAAAATTGGGAGATGATGTATAATGAAATGAAAAAAAAGGTTCAAAATAACTTTTGTTTAAAAACCAGAAGCTTTCTCATTAGGAATTACAGGTACCAAAATTCCAAAAGATCAGAAAAGATTGTTTATGTATGCAACAACATCCACACAGATGCTACTGGCCCAGAGATGGAAGGAAGAGACAACACCGATCAGAGAAGAATGGCAAATCAGGATGATGGACCATGCCAAAATGGCAAAATTAACTGGGAAGCTCAGAAATCAAGAAGACAATAACTTTAAAAAAGAATGGGAAAAGTTTGTAATTTATATACGAGACCACTGCAAGCAGGTTAAAACATTGGCAGGATTTTAAACACACTTGTAATGTAAAGGAAACTATGGACAATTCAGCAGGAAAAATATTTTGATAAATATTGATATGCAGTTGTAATTATTTTCATTAGGACCCATGGAAGGGATGGGGGAAAGTCAGGAGATTCAGAGTAATCTCAGTATTTGGATTTTGAATTGTTGTTTGTTGTATGTTTATATTTTAAAAAAATCAAATGAAAACAGAGAAGGAAAGAGATTCTGACTCAATCACAGAAACGACTTTCTGATGGGAAGAGCTCTTCGATGGTGGAACAAGCATCACAGACCACAGCCAAGAGAACAGGTCCATTCCTTTGTCCCAAACCTCCTCCTTCCCAAGTTTACAAACCTTGCTCTTCTTCCTTCCAGGAATCTAGCACAGGTTGGTGGCCAGGATCTGCAGCAGCTTCTGCTGAAACAAAAGAAATCAAGGAATGCATTGCATCAGCGTTTGGGCTGTCCTGCTGGAATTTTAGGTGTAACTCTTTCCATTAGATGGGAAGAAGATAAAGTCCCTCCCAGAGAAGAATGGCAGATCAAGTTGATGGACTATGCCGAAATGGCCAAATGACTGGAAGAACCAGAAGTCAGGAAGACCAAAATTTCAATAAGGGATGGGGAAAATGTATAACCTGTCTTAAAAACTATTGCAAACAGTTAGTAGGATTGGAATATTACTTGCAGTTTAAGGGTGAATTTTCGACACACAAAGGGGAGGAGGGAAGTCCAGGAGATTCCTTGGAATCTTGTTTCTATGTTATATGTTTGATATGTGACTGAAAAGTTTGAATCTGAAAAACCAAATAAATAAATCTGAGTGCAACTCAGGTTGCTGAGAGGAGTTTGCATGGAGTAACAGGGTTTGTCATTTTAGGAGGTGAAACTTAACTGTTGTTCATTTCTTCGGTGAAGGGTCTTAAAAATATGTTTTTGGGATGTGAGGAATTCAAATCCGCTATTATTTTTGTGATGCTGGAAGCTGAAGAAATTCAACATGCCCTGATGGGTTAATGGAGTGGGGGAACCCCAGCTCCCCTGGACCATCTTCTCTATGCTGACATCTCTCTTGTCTCTTTGATGTTTAGAGGGAGAAACCTGAGGTTGCATCCAGCTTTACGATTCCCTGCTCCTCTTCCCATTCTTAATCTGGACCTCCAGGGGGAGAGGTCCTTCTTGGATCTACCTCCTGAGAGGAAAGGGGCAAGGCCGCCTTCTGTGGTGTAGTGGTTAAGAGTGGTGGACACGTAATCTGGTGAACTGGGTTCGATTCCCTGCTCCTCCACATGCAGCTGCTGGGTGACCTTGGGCTAGTCACACTTCTCTGAAGTCTCTCAGCCCCACTTCCCTCACAGAGTGGTTGTTGTGGGGGAGGAAGGGAAAGGAGAATGTTAGCCGCTTTGAGACTCTGTCGGGTAGTGATAAAGCGGGATATCAAATCCAAACTCTTCTTCTCTTCTCTCTCTCCAACCAGACAGCCAGGACTATAGAACTCTTTCCCTAACCTTTAATAAATGTAGAAACGTGAGGAGTTTGCTGGGTCTGGCCAATGGCCTTTCTAGCCCAGCATCCTCTTCTCACAGTGGCCAAAGAGATGTCTGTGGTAAACCCTGCAGCAGAACCCGAGCCCAAGAGCTCTCTCCCCTCCCGCGGTTTTGAGCAATTGGTAATTCAGAGGCGGCAGAGCAGAGCCGTCCTGGCCAGGAGCCCCCGGCAGCCCTCTCCTCCTCCATCAATTTGTCTAGCCCTCTTTCAAAGCCATCCAAGTCGCTGGCCATCGCTGCCTCCTGTGGCAGGGAGTTCCACAGTTCAACTTTGTGCTGTGGGGAGGATTTTGTTTTATCTCCCCTGAGTCTTCCAACCTTCAGATTCCTGCACACTAGTGGGAGAGGGGGAGAACTATCCCCTCTCTTCATGCCAGGCATCAGTTTATCGTTTTCTACCATGTCGCCTCTTTGAACTGGACTGTGGGGTTCCCTCTCTCCTTCTACCTCCATGGGGGGATCCTTCAGGACCTCCTCTGCTTGGCTCCGCCTCTCCCGCTGCAAGACGGTCCAGAGGGTCGGTGGGCGTGGCTTGAGGAGGAGGCTTGGCTTGGATACATTTTGGGTTTTTACCTTGTATTTTTATGTTATGAACCCCGCTGAGATCTATGGAGGATGAACAGCATACTAATGAATGAATTACTAGCAAGGTGGAGGTCCCTGGTCAAACCTACTGCCATAAAGGTCTACCCACAGCCTCACTTACTTGTGGGATGTGATCCAACCATCCCTTGCCAGGATCCCCTGGGTACCCCGTCGCCCAGACCCTTGGCATCGCCAGGTGGGATGTTGGAGGGGAACAGCTGGCTCATGGCAATGTTGGCCAGGAATCTCTCCAGGATGGAGAGCGGGGAGGCTGACGAAGCTTGGCTGCCCATGGTGATAAGCTCTGGTTCTTGGGTGGAAGGAAGCCCCCTTTCCTCCTCTGGAGTGAGCAATGCGCTCCAAGGCCTGAACTCCGTCCCCTTCTGCCACAAAGTCCAATCCACCTTTGATCTCGTGTCTAGGAAGAACAAAAACACTCCAACTGAAGGCGCTGAGGGATGGGACGCCTCTCCTATCCTCTCTGAGGCCTCAGCCCCCGGCTGTTTTGGAACTACAGTTCCCATCATTCCTGACCACTGGACATGCTAGCTAGCAATGATGGGAGTTGCAGTCCAACAACAGCTGGAGACCCAAGGTTGAGAAAGACTACATAAGCTGGTAGCAATGGTTCTCCAGCATACTGCCTCGCCAGGGTGGCACATGTTCTGGCTATCTCCCTCTTGGACTACCGCAATGCGCTCTACATGGGGCTACCTTTGAAGGTGACCCAGAGACTATGATCAATCCAGAATGTGGCAGCTAAACTGGTGCCTGGGAGTGGCCACCAAGACCACATAACACTGGTCCAGAAAGACCTACATTGGCTCCCAGTACGTTTCCGAGCACAATTCAAAGTGTTGGTGGTGACCTTTCAGGCCCTAAATTGCCTTGTCCCTGTATACCTGAAGGAGCGTCTCCACCCCCATTGTTCAGTGCGGACACTGAGGTCCAGATCCGAGGGCCTTCTGGTGGTTCCCTCCCTGCTAGAAGTGAGGTTACAGGGAACCAGGCAGAGGGCCTTCTCGGTAGTGGCACCCACCCCGTGGAACGTCTTCCCATCAGATATCAAGGAGATAAAGAAGTACAGTGGTACCTTGCAAGACGAATGCCTCGCAAGACGGAAAACTCGCAAGAAGAAAGAGTTTTCTGTTTTTCGAGGTGCTTCGCCAGACGAATTTCCCTATGGGCTTGCTTCGCAAGAAGAAAGCCCATAGGGAAATCTCCGATGACCTCTTTTAAAATGCTGGCGGTCGGGAGCAAAGACTTTCGCCCACCGCCGGCCTTCAGAAGAGGTCCTGGACCTCTTCTGAAGGCCGGCGGGGGGCAAAAGTCTTTGCTCCCCCCCCGCCTGCCTTCCCGGCACAGCGGAGACTTCTCCGCTGTCCTGGGGCGATCTTAAAATGCTGGCAGGCGGCAGCGAAGCATTCGCTGCCGACCCCCAGCATTTTAAAAGCCCCCGGGACAGCGGAGGCTTCGCTGCCGCCCGCCAGCATTTTAAAATCGCCCTGGGACAGCGGAAAAGTCTCCGCTGTCCCGGGGGCTTTTAAAATGCTGGCGGGTGGCAGCAAAGCCCTCCTGTCCCCGGAGCTTGCAGGGTGGGAGGTGGGGAGAAGGGCTTTTCTTCCCACCGCCAGCCTTCAGAACAGCCTTCTGAAGGCTGGCGGTGGGAAGAAAAGCCCTTGCCCCCCCCCAGCCTTCAGAAGAGGTCGGGGGACAGACTGTCCCCGGACCTGGTCTGAAGGCGGTTTCCATAGGAACGCATTGATTGATTTTCAATGCATTCCTATGGGAAACCGTGCTTTGCAAGACAAAAAACTCGCAAGAAGAAAAAACTCGCGGAACGAATTAATTTCGTCTTGCGAGGTACCACTGTATCTGACTTTTAGAAGACATCTGAAGGCAGCCTTGTTTAGGGAAGCTTTTAATGTTTGATGTTTTATCGTGTTTTTCATATTCTATTGGGAGCCACATGGAGGTGGCAACCCAGCCAGATGGGGTATGTATGTATGTATGTATGTATGTATAAATAAATAATAAATTTATTATTATTATTATTATTATTATTATTATTATTATTTGTACCCAAACGTTTCCAAGAGATCTGGGTCAAAGTCAGATCTGATAGAATCTGCGCCCTGAAAACCTCTATTTACTTTCCAAGAGAGAAAAAAGATAACCTCCTCAGCCCTTCACAGCTAAAGGGGTGATGTAGGTGCTCAGAGGCTTTCCAGGTACTGATGTCATGTTAGTAAGCTCCGATTTAAATGTACACCTGCCCTACCAAGAAGGTGCAAGGCAGGTGACATCACCTGCCTCCACCCCCATTGTCTGCCCTTCCCACTGCCCTTGCTAGAGGTGCAACCCCAGAGGCTCACCTTCCTGGGCTGAACTCAGGGCCTCCACCTCCTCCATGGTCCATGGGTGCTGCCTCTCCGGGGAGCTGCTGTTGGAGGAGCTGGCAGTTGGCAACCACAGCTGGCTGGGGGGGTTCTGGGGCAGCTCCCTCAGGCACCGCTCTAGGGCTTGCAAGGGGGCGCTGTTCCAGCTGGTTCCTACCGAGAAAGGGCATGCAAAGCTGTCAGCTACACAACTGCACCATGCTGCTGTTCATTTATTATCCAGGTGCCAACTTTCATTCCAAGAAGAAATACCAAAACAGTCAAGGAATCATGGAATCATGGAATCACGGAGTTGGAAGGGACTCATAGAGTCATCTAGACCAACCCCATGCAAGACAGAGATAGTATCTTAAGAAAGGGCAACAGCAAAACAACACTCAAACCGATTGCAGAAACACAGCTACTTGGAATTAAAATTTACAGTAAAACAACAGGTTTAAAACATGCATAATTAAAATATATAATGTATACAGCGTAACAATTAAAATAGTTAGACTAGCCGTTCCCTAAAACATCAAACATTCAAAATTATTATTATTTCTGAAGGCAGCCCTGTACGGTGGTGCCCCGCAAGACGAATGCCTCCCAAGACGAAAAACCTGCAAGACAAAAGGGTTTTCCGTCGCGGAGGCGCTTCGCAAGACGAATTTCCCTATGGGCTTGCTTTGCAAGACGAAAACGTCTTGCGAGTCTCGCCATTTTTTTTTGCTCCCCCCCCCCTTTTTCAAAGCCGCTAAGCCATTAATAGGCTTTTAACAGCTTAGCCGCTAAGCCCGCTAAGCCGCTAATAGCGCTAAATCGCTAATAGCGGTAATCCGCTTAGCCGCTAATGGGGTTGCTTCGCAAGACGAAAAAACCTCTAGACGAAGAGAATCGCGGAACAGATTCTTTTCGTCTTGCGAGGCACCACTGTATAGGGAAGTTTTTAATGTTTGATGTTCTATTATTGGGGGGGGTGTTATTGGGTTGCTGTTTTTATTGATTATATATGCTGTTTTTATTGTTGGGTTGTTGTTTTTATTCATTATATATGCTGCTGGAGGAGGGCAGGACGTGGCTTTATTTGACGGGGGTGGAGGGAGGGAGGAGGAGAAGGCAGGATCTACATCAGATTGCTGCCTGCACAGCATTCTTTGATGGGGGTGGAGGGAGGGAGGGAAAACTTCAATGTGGGGGATGTGACAAAAATATTTTCACACCGGGTACCACCTGACCTTGCTACGCCACTGCCTAGAGGGGCACAGGCAGTGGGACATCCAGTCAGTGTAACTGCCTGTTCCACTGGTCTGGACCTTCTCCTCCTGCATGTGACCTGGGAGATGCGCCTGGCTCTGGCTGACTCCATAAAAGAGCCGAGTCATGCAGCCATTTTCTCGGTTGTTGTTTTTCTCTTGTCTTGCTTGCTGATCTTTTGCTGCCACGCTGCTCTCCTGCAGCCATTTTGTGATCTTAATGTGATTTTGCTATCTGCTGGCTCTCAGCCAGCAGCACGTGAGTTCTCACACAGTTTCTTTGTGTAACTATCAAGCAAAGTCTGCTTTTCAGGGATCATATCGCAAACTGAAATGTGTCAACTTTTTGTTACTTTACTCAGAAAGACTATTGTGTTGTTATTCTTTTAAGAGGGATCAAAAGGGAACACCAGAAATAAACTTAACTAAGAGATTAAAACGAACCTGCAAACTAGCTTCCAGCTATATTGAGGGGCATCTGCTCTGCTACATCACAGTGTGAGGGAGGGAAATATCTTTTAGATTGAGGTTCAAGTATAATTATTACTCTACTTTACTCTATAATTATTACTCAAGTATAATTATTACTCTACTTTTTTAGCAGTCAGTCGTGTTTTCATTGTTCATCAGCTGATTATTCACTATCTTCTCCATTTATGGGCTGTTTGTGTCCCGTCCCCCCCAAGTTCTTTCCAGTATTTTATCCAGAAGATATTAGCATCCTTTACCATTTCAAATTGTTTTCTTTTCCCTTTGAAATAGAAATTCCCTCTGGAAATTCCCACCTAAAATCAATAGACTTAGCTTTTAATGCCTTCGCTAGAAATTGAAATTTGTCTCTTTTCTGAAGCAGACAGGGTGGGATTTCCTTTAAAATTATAATCTCCTTTCCATTGATTTTTATTTCATTTCTCTACTTGTCATTAGTATCTTATCTTTAATCCAATTTGAAGTAAACCTTACAATACAATCTCCTGGCCATTTATTCGCTTTCACTTTCACGGAGTTGACTCTGAATATTTTTTCTGTGTGTCTGAGTACGTCCTCTTTCTGTAATCCTAACCAGGTGGTTAGATTCTCTATTATTTTCTTCTGTAAATTTTCCCAAGGTTCCTCGGGTATCCCTCAAAATCTCAGTATTTTCTCTCTACAGTGGTACCTCGGGTTAAGAACTTAATTCGTTCTGGAGGTCTGTTCTTAACCTGAAACTGTTCTTAACCTGAAGCACCACTTTAGCTAATGGGGCCTCCCGCTGCTGCCGTGCTGCTGCTGCGCGATTTCTGTTCTCATCCTGAAGCAAAGTTCTTAACCCAAGGTAATATTTCTGGGTTAGCGGAGTCTGTAACCCGAGGTACCACGGTACTTCGCATTTGTAGAATTGCAAGTGTATCCTAGGTAGCTTCTTGTTTGATTTTAAACTCATCTATTTCTTTTTTAAATTTATTATATTCTTTCCTTGGTTCTCTATTCTCTTTTGTTATTTTCTTCGCAACTTCCTCCTAACCTTGAGTCTTGTTTTTTATTTCTTGTATATTTTTTTAGTGTTCTTTGTTCTGTACTGTAAGCTCATTCACCTGCCCGACAAATGCTTCTGAGACTTTTGAGTTTGCCTCCATTCTTCCTTCCATTCTAATTTCTCTTCTAGTCCTTTAACCCTTTCATTCATTTCTTTTTTCATTTCACCTAGATCTTTTTTCATTTCTCCTATATCTGTTTTCAAGGCCAGGATGAGCCCCCTTGGTGGAACACAGGACCTGGCTAAGTGTGGACAAGCATAGATCCCATCTGCCTTCTCCAGTCGCTGCGACTGCATCACTCCTCTCTTCAAATACCCTCCCACCCCATGTTTTCTGAACCAACCAGTCCATCCGCCCCACCCTGTCTGGACTCTGCCTCACCCTCCAAATACGGGACCCATATCCATAGGTCAATTCCTGTCTCGGGGCTGTTGTGAGCAAGGGTTCCATCAGGGAGGCTAGAGGCCAGGTCTCGCTCCTCAGGGTCTTCCTTCAGGTCTTGCACAAAGTTCCCATCCTCAAATTGCTCTTCCATTTTAACTGTTGCAAAAAAACAAGGGAGGGGGGAACCAGGGTCAAAGTGGAGCCAATCCTAATCTTTTGTCTCCCCCCATCACCCACCCTGCCTGAGAATTTCTGGTAATCCAAGGCAAACCATATTCAGATCAATTCCTTTGGAAAGAACAGAATCCAAACATACATTCACACCCCTGAAGTCCCTTTGAGAAGGGCTATAGCTCAGTGGCAGAATATCTGCTTTGACAAAGTTAAGCTTGGTGGATCGGGGATGCTCTGGACATAGTGCATCTTGAATTCAGTCAGGCTTTTGACAAATTCCCTCATGATATTCTCATGAGGAAGCTGGTAAAATGTGGGCTGAACGAGGTAACTGTTAGGTGGATTTGTAGCTGGTTGACTGACCAAACCAAGAGTACGCATTAACGGTTCCTCATCATCCTGGAAAAAAGTGACAAGTGTGGTGCCGCAGGGTTCTGTCCTGGGCAAGTTGTTGTTTAACGTCTTTATAAATGACTTGGATGAAGAATTGAGGGGATGCTCATCAAATCCGCAGATGACAACAAACTGGGAGGGGTAGCTAACGCCACAGAAGACAGAATCAGAATTCAAAATGACATTAACAGATTGGAGAACTGGGCCCAAACTAACAGAGTTAATTTCAGTAGGGACAAATGTAAAGTTCTTCACCTAGGCAGGAAGAACCCGATGCACAGATATAAGATGGTGGACACCTGGAGAAGGATCAAGGAGCCTTGGTGGACCACAAGCTTAACATGAGTCAACAGTGTGAGCAAAAAAAAAAAAAAAAAAAAAAGAGGGAAAGGGGAAAAAACTAATATTATTCTAGGCTGTATCAACAGAAGTTTAGTGTCCTGATCCAAGGAAGTAATAGTCCCTCTCTTTTCTGCCTTGGCCAGACCTCACCTGGAGTCATATGTCCAGTTCTGGGCACCACAATTTGAGAAGGATGTTGACAAGCTGCAAGGTGTGCAGAGGAGGGCAATCAAGATGATCAAGGGTCTGGAAACCAAGCCTTAGGAGGAAGGGTTGACGAAGTTGGGGATGTTTAGCCTAGAGAAGACTGAGATGTGATAAAATAGCCTTCTTCAAATAACTGAAAGACTGTTGCATGGAATATGGAGCAAGCTTGTTTTCCGCTGCTCCAGAGGGGGGTCACCCCAACCAATGAATTCAAATGACAAGGGGATTCTGAAAGAGACACCAGGAAGAACCTTATGATAGTGAGAACTGTCTGACAGTGGAAGGGGCTCTTTCAGAAAGTGGTGGAGGTTTTGAAAACAGGTTTACGAACTTAATCCGTTCCTGAAGTCCATTCTTAAACTGAATCCATTCTTAAACTGAGGCACATTTTCCCTAATGAGGCCTCCTGCTGGCGGTGCCCTTCCACCGTTTGGATTTCGTTTGTAGACTGAGGTAAAGTTCACAAACCAGAACACTACTTCCGGTTTTGTGGAGTTTGTAAACCGAATAGTTTGTAAACAGGGCTGTTTGTAAACCGAGGTACTGCTGTATAAGCATTGTAATTCACAATTACCTCACCGTTTGCAATCCTACTACCCAGATTCAACTTTTCTGAGACCCTTTGCTTTTACGGAAAAGTGACATTTCCCTTTCTTACAACTTCTACCATGTCACCTCTTTGAATTGGGTGTTGCATGGCTACTATTCCTGTGTAATCATGGAGTTTTTTGGCCTGGGGCTTACTCCAAGTCCCCTCCCTAGTTGCCGCCCCTCATTCCTAGGTCCCAGTTTGGGATACAACATTAAAACGCAGTATTAAAACAACCTATAAGCGTTTCTGTGCGCTGCTCTGGTTCGCCAGAAGTGGCTTAGTCATGCTGGCCACATGACCCGGAAACTGTACGCCGGCTCCCTCGGCCAATAAAGTGAGATGAGCGCCGCAACCCCAGAGTCAGTCACAACTGAACCTAAGGGTCAGGGGTCCCTTTACCTTTACCTTACAAAACAGACACCTCAGACGTCAGAAGCCGGGTTCTAGAGGTGCGTCTTCCGTATCCTCTGGAAGCTGTGTAAGGAAAGTGCCAGGAGTACCTCTTTGGGGAGGGAGTTCCACTGTTTAGGGGCCGCCACAGAGAAGGCCCTGCCCTGGGGGGGTGCCCCACTGCGAGCCTCTGAGGGAGGAGAAATTACCGAGAGACAGCACCCAAGAGGGTCTGTAAGGAAGGAAGGTTCTGGAGGGTAATGGCTGTGTCAGTTTGCTGCTGGGAATGAAGCATTCCTGAGCATTCCATTCTCACACAGTTCCATAACTGCCACCTTGGAGACAGCATCATTTAAATGGTTCCACAGCAACTGGCAAAAGCAAAGGAGGCCAGAACTTTTTGCCACATGAATCAAATTTATCTCTTTTTTAATTTGTTTATTGGGTTTTACAGTTTTATATCAACATAGTCATAAACAAGAAAAAACAACAAGAATGCATAAATCCCATTCTCTCCCCCCCATCCCCCACCCAGCGACTTCCGTCAACTTTCCCTTCTGGTTCTTTAAGTATTTGCTGCTTCTGCTTACATTATTTTACCTTAATTTCAAAATCTTTTAACTAAATGCTCTTATTTTCTTATCATTTTTATACCATATCATTCAGATTACATCTTGCACTTAATTGCTTTCCAGATCATTGTTCCTTATCTTTTATACTTATTTGCTTAGTTGTAAGTGTTTACTCAAACCCTGCTAGAGGGTCTATTTCTTTACAATAATTCTGCAAGTACAACATAAACAGATCCCAGTCTTTTTAAAAGTCTCTGTTGTCTTTGTCTCTTAGTCTTCCTGTAAGTTTCGCCATTTCTGCATATTCCATCATTTTAACTTGCCAGTCTTCTTTCGCTGGTATCTTATCGTCATTCAATTTTTGAGCTAGTCGGACCCCATCTGCCATTGTAACATACATAAATAAGTTATTCAACTCTTTTGGCAATTATTGTCCTATAATACCTAGTAGAAAAGGTTCTGTTTTTTTAGCAAAAGTTATTTTAAACATTTTTTTCATCTGATTATAGATAATTTCCCAATAGTTTTTGATTGCTTTGCAATTCTACCACATGTGGTAAAAGGTTCCTTCTTTCTCTTTACACTTCCAACATATATTAGAGCTTGTTGTATACATCTTAGCAAATTTAACAGGAGTCATATACCATTGATACATCATTTTAATATAATTCTCTTCAAAGTTATACAATCCTTAAATTTTAGGTCCACCTTTCATAACTTTCCCCAATTTTTCATTTGTATATTATGTCCTAAATCTTGTGCCCACACATGAATCAAATCTCGATGCAAAGTTGGGGCTGGGCTGGATGACCCTTAGGGGTCCCTTCCAAGGCGGCTCTGAATTTTCTTTTTCAAATGATGGCCAGACTACACCTGGAGTCATATGTCCAGTTCTGGGCACCACAGTTTGAGAAGGATGTTGACAAGCTGCAAGGTGTACAGAGGAGGGCAATCAAGATGATCAAGGGTCTGGAAACCAAGCCTTAGGAGGAAGGGTTGAGGAAGTTGGGGATGTTTAGCCTAGAGAAGACTGAGATGTGATACAATAGCCATCTTCAAATATCTGAAAAACTGTTGCATGGAAGATGGAGCAAACTTGCTTTCTGCTGTTCCAGAGGAGGTCACGCCAAACAATGAATTCAAATGACAAGGAAGGGGATTCTGAAAGAGACACCAGGAAGAACTTTGTGATAGCGAGAACTGTCTGGCAGTGGAAGGGGCTACCTCAGAAAGTGGTGGACTCTCCAGGATATAAAGAAGAAGAAGAAGAAGAAGAAGAAGAAGAAGAGTTTGGATTTGATATCCCGCCTTTCACTCCCCTTCAGGAGTCTCAAAGCGGCTAACATTCTCCTTTCCCTTCCTCCCCCACAACAAACACTCTGTGAGGTGAGTGGGGCTGAGAGACTTCAAAGAAGTGTGACTGGCCCAAGGTCACCCAGCAGCTGCATGTGGAGGAGCGGGGACGCGAACCCGGTTCCCCAGATTACGAGACTACCGCTCTTAACCACTACACCACACTGGCTCTCTAAAGGATATAAAGACAATATGGCATTAGTGACATAGTTGAAAGGAATATGTAAAAAAATGTTTTATAAGAATAAGGGTGAAAAAGCTAGAATAACATTATGCCAAATTTAAACAAAATGATATAAAGGGAAAAATTGGAGACATAATAGTTGAAATGTATAACATAGAATAAGATTTGAAAGAGGGTAAGGCACTGCTGAATACGATTGTGTAAAAGGGAACACAGAAAAGGGAGATGTGAGGAAGTCAGGAAGGAGGGTTATGAAAACAATAAGTAAGAAACTGGATTTTTATGTCTTTTTTATGTCTTTTTCTTCTACTTTTTATGTTTTGTATTGCATCTTTCTGTTTTTATTTGATTGTGATAATGTTCCTTCTTTCTTTCTTTTTTTGTTTTGATTGTGAAGTTTGTTTTACTGTTCAAAATTTCAATAAATATCTTTTACTTATTTTAAAAAAAACAGAAAGTGGTGGACTCTCCTTCTGTGGAGGTTTTGAAAGCAGAGGTTGGATGGTAATAATAATAATAATAATAATAATAATAATAATAATAATAATAATAATTTATACCCTGCCCATTTCCCCAGCCACTCTGGGCGGCTCCCAATCAAGTGTTAAAAACAATACAGCATTAAATATCAAAAACTTCCCTTAACAGGGCTGCCTTCAGATGTATTTTAAAGATAAGTTAGCTACTTATTTCCTTCACATCTGAAGGGAGGGTGTTCCACAGGGCGGGCGCCACTACCGAGAAGGCCCTCTGTCTGGTTCCCTGTAACCTCACTTCTCACAATGAGGGAACTGCCAGAAGGCCCTGGTGCTGGATCTCAGTGTCCGGGCTGAACAATGGGGGTGGAGACGCTCCTTCAGGTATACATGTATACGCTCCTTCAGGTATATATCATGTGTCATGGATGGTCAAGTTGAGATTCCTGCATTGCAGGGGGTTGGACCAGATGACCCTCAGAGTCCCTTTCCAACTCTGCAGGTCTATGGTTCTATAATTAGGCATAAGTCTGCTTCCTACTGGAGAAATACTCTTCCTCTAAGCTATTTAAAGGTAAAGGTACCCCTGCCCGTACGGGCCAGTCTTGACAGACTCTAGGGTTGTGCGCCCATCTCACTCAAGAGGCCGGGGGCCAGCGAAGTCCGGAGACACTTCCGGGTCACGTGGCCAGCGTGACATCGCTGCTCTGGCGAGCCAGAGCCGCACACGGAAACGCCGTTTACCTTCCCGCTAGTAAGCGGTCCCTATTTATCTACTTGCACCCGGGGGTGCTTTCGAACTGCTAGGTTGGCAGGCGCTGGGACCGAGCAACGGGAGCGCACCCCGCCGCGGGGATTCGAACCGCCGACCTTTCGATTGGCAAGCCCTAGGCGCTGAGGCTTTTACCCACAGCGCCACCCGCGTCCCTCTGAGCTATTTACCCTCTTCTTAATTTCATTGGACACACCAAATCTGTTGTCAATAGTTGGCCAATCTCCATTCAAATCTCCTGAATGCCTCCAAATGCCTCAAACTGCCAGGAGCAACTAGGTAAAGACAACCCCCTCACCTTTGACCCTCCCCACCTCACCCCCCCCTTGCAAAGCCAGCCAGAGGAGTTTTACTTTTGATGCCCTCGGCTGTCCCCTCCTTGCCTGGGGCTCCACATGGACTGAGAGGATGACCAGGTCTGTCCGGGTACTGAAGTGAGGAGCTGCTGCTCATTGCTTCCACTTTAACTGCAGGTACCCCCCCCCCAAAGGAAAACGCAAAGGCTAAGCCAGAAGCTGGAAACACATCGGGAGCAGAAACAGTCCGAGGAATCAGCAAATCCACACGACTGGCAATGGCTCTAACGTGGACGTGGCAAAAACAGTAAGAAATGGTGCAAGTGGGAATTTGTTGCCATTTAAAGGTACTGTACAATCGCATATTGCACGCATCTAACTCTTGCAATTTCAACATTGAAAGCTGTCTGGTTGAAATTGCACTTTAAAAATAAAATAATATGCTTTTCAGGTTTATACATTTCACTAATTTCACAATCATTTTAACATTTCAAAACTCAACTTCCTTCCCCCTCTTTCTGCAGTTCTTTAAATTCATTTTTAATATCTTCTGCATACCCAAATTAACTTAATTTGCTCATTTATTTGTCTTCTTTAAATACATACTCTTATAAAACTACAGGTTATTACAATAACCCTACCAAAGTTTTTATCTGTTTATAATTTATCTGTAAATATTCAATAAACCATTTCCATTCTTTTATTTAAAAATTTGTTATCTCAATTTCTTATTCGTCCGGTGAGTTTCGCCATTTCTGCATATTCTGTAAGTTTTTGTATCCATTTTTCCTTTGCCGGGACTTCTGCTTCTTTCCATTTTGGGGCAAGTAACATTCTTGCTGCTGTAGTTGCATACATGAATAAGTTTCTATATATTTTAGGTAGTTCTGTCCCTATAATTCCCTCTAACACGTGTGATTTCAGTGCCAAAGCATTCAGATAATTTCTCCATAGAAACTGCCATTCTGGTGGTTCCCTCACTGCGAGAAGTGAGGTTACAGGGAACCAGGCAGAGGGCCTTTTCTGTACTGGTGCCCACCCTGTGGAACGCCCTCCCATCGCAATGTCAAGGAGATAAAGAAGTATCTGACTTTTAGAAGACATCTGAAGGCAGCCCTGTTTAGGGAAGTTTTTAATGTTTGATGTTTTATCATGTTTTTAATATTCTGTTAGTAGCTGCCCAGAGTGGCTGGGGAGGTCCAGCCAGATGGACGGAGTATAAGTTGTTGTTGTTGTTGTTGTATATTTTGCTTTGTTGTAAGTCACTTGGCAAACATAATAATAATAATAATAATAATAATAATAATAATAATAATAATGATGATGGAATTGTAGAGCTCTCTGCAATTCTCTCCCTAAGAGGAGCAGGCTAGCTTAAGGGCTGCAGGGCACACGCAGCTCTGCTCTCAAACACATTCTCTCTACAGAACCCACAACTTGAGGCCATTGCCCAACAGTAGGGCCAGCTCTGCAGAAACCCTTAGAATCGTCACAGTGCCTCCCGGCTGCTTCTAAGTGGGTTATGATATTGAGGACAACCAAGTTCCCATTGGAAAAGTTGCCCTGCATTAGTTACCAGGCGTCAGAGCAAGTGCAGTGAAGGTAGATTAAAAAAGAAAAAGGATCAACCTCTGTGAAAGGAGATGGAGAGAGACAGCTCTGGTTAAATTTGACCGCACTTCAAGCAGATTTAATATCATACAAAACTAAATTTGATAATGGGTCGGTGGGCAGGAAGGACACAGAACCAACTACGGAAGGCCAGGGATGGTCATGTGAGATCTCATGGGAACTTTGATGGCCCCACAAGATCTCACAAGAGCATCCCAGAACCAGCACGCTCAGTGGGTCTTGCCCCTCTAGCAAGGCAGAGAGCTAAAACTCCTTTTCCATGCAAGGTTAACTGCAAGCAGCTGAAATCCCACAAGTTAATTGTGCACAAGGTTCAACCATTCTGTACGTGCTACAGTAAAACTGTAGCTGCAGCAGACACCAACTGGAACGTCAGAAACATTTGTGAACTCAGCTGCGCACGCCCTTCTGACGGCCCTCAAGCAAGGACACTTTCAGCAGTCATTTCATCACCAGAAGCTGAAGTAGCCGCTTCTGCATGCTTGGCAAGTGCAGCCAAAATTACATCATGGAGCTCATGGTCAGAAATATCCCTGAGACCCAGACAATTAAATGAAATCTTCAAAGAGGATAACAAGGGAGGATTCACTTACAGAGTTTCCACATTCCAAAAGGATGTTATAGATGATAAGTCCAAATTATTAAAGAAGGCGTATAATATACTTTTGGAATGGGAAACTAAAGATGAAGAAGTTAAATCAGTAATGATTAAGTGGGCACAGGATATAGGTCACAATATACAATTTGAGGATTGGATAAGGCTTTGGAAAGTGAATTTGAAATTTAAGGATTGTATATTGTTGAAAGAGAACTATATGAAGATATGGTATATGACACCAACAAAATTGGAAAATGTATAAAACAGAACAAAAGAATTGTTGGAGATGTACAGAAGGGGAAGGTACATTTTACCATATGTGGTGGGATTGTAAGATTGTTTTAAAAATTGGGAAATGATATACAATGAATTAAAAAAATGTTTAAAATAACATTTGTAAAAAACCAGAAGCTTTTCTGTTAGATATTTTAGGACAAGAGCTGCCGAAAGAAAAATGGACATTATTCATGTATGCTACAACAGCAGCAAGAATCTTAATAGCACAAAACTGGAAGACTGGAGAAATACCATCAAAAGAACAATGGCAAGAAAAGTTGATGAACTATGCAGAGTTGGCAAAGTTAATGGATAAGCTGCATAAAAAGGAAAATAGTAATTTTGAAAAAGAATGGAAACCTTTTACAACATATTTGCAGAAACAACAAAAAAACGGACTCGCTGGCAGGATTTAAATAAACATTTACAACTTTGTTTAACAATGTGACAACACAATAATATATACAAATAGCAGAATGTAACATTTGATGTAATAAACCAGAAATGGAAGCCGAGTGAAGTCAATAGGGAGGGGGGAAATTGGAAAATGAATGTTATTGATATTGGATATTTGTTATGAGAAAAAGAAAATCAGTAAAAATTTATTTATTTATTTAAAAAAATATCCCTGAGACGACATTACAGGGGAGATGGAATCAGTCTGCATCAAACTGTGACATGCCTGGCAGGAAGGCACCCATCCACTGCCATTATCAGTGTTTGACGACGACGATGACCTCTGTTCAGCCTGCCCACCAAGTTGATCATAGCCCACTGGCCACATGGGGCAGCTGAGCTGAGCAGGGGCCCCAATGAACCTCTTGGTTTTGTGGCTTGAGAATATAAAAGTAGAGAGAGTTGTCGAGCACTTGGGAGAACTGGATCCATGGCTAGTGGGCAGCCTGGGAGGTCACAAGCCCAGGAGAGCCATCCACGGATGTCTTATCCACCCACTGCGCACCTGAGCAGTCCAGTAAGCAGCTCCAACAAGTCCTCATTCTCTGTAAGATGGGGAGCTTCCCCTGCATTTTTACAGGGCATCCCTCGCGGCAGGGAGTGCCAAACTAAGTTCTTTGATTCCATAAAATATAAAATTCGACAAGTGTGTTTCCTTCAATGCAGGCCAGACCAATGAAGAGCCACATCAGGTAACTCTTCCTAGTACCAAGTGTCTGTAAAACATCACTCCATCCTTATTTCCACTTTCCCCCTTTTCTTCTTCTTCTTCCTCTTCTTCATCACTGCCATATCCTCCGTACTCGCGTTCTCTCCTCTCCTGCTTGCTCCATCGAAGCCCGAGGGTCCCTCAGTCCTATGATGTGGGCCTTCTCTGGCCTCCTGCTCACTGCTATTCTCTCCATTCACTTTTGCCTTCTTTTTCCTCCTCTTCTTCTTCTGGCTGGGCTCCGTGGCTGGGCAGTGGTGGTCCTGGCTGGAATTCTGGAGCGCTGCTGGGAGGCCGCTATGTTTCAGGATGTCTGCTGCTGTCACCGTGGCTTCCTGGCACCTCTGCCATTCTTCGTCACTGTCCGGCTCGCTGCAAAGAGTTACAGGCAAAACAGTGGTAGAGTTAAAACCTTGGAATTTGCTTCTGCAATATGCGGCAGCGGCCACGAACTTAAGATGGCTTTAAAAAGAGGATCAGATCAATTCATGGAGAAGAGGGGTATGGATGGCTACTAGCCATGCTTATTATAAATTAATCACTATCGACACACCTGGGAATCCCAAGTGCTGGGGAAGGGAGGGGGTAGCCTTGGGAGCATCTCAATGGTCAGACACAGCAGGGTGGGCGGCCTGGGATCCCCACCCCCTGCTGCAGCATGTGTAAAATGCTGGACCTCCCCATCAGAGATGAGTCCTGCCATCAGCTGCAGCCTCCAAGCCTGCTGCCCTGCTGGCCAGTTCCACCTCTGTCATGCACACCTGCCAGAGCAGCATCTTACCTGGAGCTGCAGTACCGCTGCTGCCGCCTCCCTGCAGTCTGAGGTTCTGGCTCCCCACAGTTTCCTGGCACTGATGAAGAGAAGAGGCGGAAGCCTAAGACATTGGAAGAAAAGCGGGGAAGTTATTAGGGCACCCTCTGTGTTGGGGTCAGACCAGGACCGCATATCCAAAGGGCATGTAGGAGTACAAGTTCTCCAACCCAGCTAGGCATTTTGTGTTTTCGTTTTGTATTTTTGTGCTGTGAGCCACCCTGCGATCTTTGGATGAAGGACAGTATATAAAGTTAATAAATAATAATAATAATAATAATAATAATAATAATAATAAAGTCTACAGTCATACCTCGGGTTAAAGACGCTTCAGGTTGAGCGTTTTCAGGTTGCATTCCGTGGCAACCCAGAAGTAATGGAATGGGTTACTTCCGGGTTTCGCCACTCGCGCAAGCGCAGACGCTCAAAATGACGTCACGCGCATGAGCAGAAGTGGCAAATTGCGACCTGCAGACGCGGGTTGCGTTCTGCTCAGGATGCGAACGGGGCTCCGGAACAGATCCCGTTCACATCCAGAGGTACCACTGTATTGGAGCGAGAGGCTGGGAGTGCAAGTGGGCCTCGCTCTGTTGACCAGCAGGGCAGCAGGTATGGCTTCTCGGAATTCTACCAGGCCTCACCAAACCTGTCAATCTGCCTGTCAATCTGAGAGCCTGGTGCTGCATATACCTATCCCTTACTGTGCCTGAAGAGTGTTCCACAGAGTACTGTGTTTGCCATCAGAGGCCAAGTCTTCTGTGGCATGGAGGGTGGTGGCACAGAACTGGCCTTTTCGGTGGTGGCTCCCTACCTCTGGAATGGTCTTACCAGGGAAGAATGCCTGGTGCCATTGTTGTCTGTCTCTAGGCAACAGGCAAGAAGACACTTGTTTACCAAGCCTTTTAAATTTTTGATTGGGAAGGTACTTAACGAGATTTGTGCTCATCCTTTAACTGGGGCAGGAAAGGAATTGTTCTTTTAAAATATATTGCTGGGTTAGTATTTTAGTTTGGGGGTATTGTTGCTTTTCTGCCTGGTTATAATGTATTAGTTATTTCTATTTTTATTGTGGAAGTTGCTTTGAGACACCCAACTACAAAAATGTGACTAATAAACACAAAAACCTAACAATAAAATATTTGAGGTTTGAGGATACGCAGCCTCAGGCCCCTAAGGTCCTTGCTTCAAACTCCAGAGTTCCTGACACAGCAAATTTAGCACGCACAAACACACAGAACCAAAGCAACACTTAAGTTGGTGTAAAGCGTTTTAGATTATGCAGAGAACCCACTCACCATCGTCTTCAGTCTCTGAGCACTGCAGATCGTCCTGTGCAGGTCCTGGAGAATGCTTCAAAATAGTAATGGAGCTAAAAGAAAGAATTACAATTGCACAACGAGAAGGGAAACCAGGGGTCATGTTAAAATACTGGCATGACACAAATGATACAGCAAGCCTAGGAGACTCCTCAGTTGGTTGGCTAGACAATCTGGTAATCATTTGCTGGTCCAGATTCCCAGTTTTCATTATCATGCTTGTTTTTTGTTTCTGTTATCTGTTTTGTTTCTGTTTTGTTTCAAGTCTTTAGCTCCGATTCCTGCATTGTAGGGGGTTGGACTAGATGTCCCTTTGGATCCCTTCCAGCTCTGTAATTCTATGATTGTAAAACCAGAGCTGAAATGTGCAGGCATTATTCCACCCACCTGCTTTGGGGAAACTCCCTGCTGCAGTCAGCTAGGATTGACCAGGAAGCAGCAATAATACCCACAGAGACAGTAAATTCTAGATGTAGTCACAGCTGCCCAGGGAATGAACTCCCTGGATTCTTTCATGGCTATTTTCCCCTCTCACCTGGAGTGGAAGTATTTTTTTAGTCCAGGATTTTAGTATGCCTGTGATTGCATGACCTGCCCCTCCCTTCCTCCCTCAAACAAAAGTTAAAAAAGACAGGGGGTTATGTTCTAAGACAGGTGCTTTTATTTAATTTTACAAAGTTGCTTTTTTAAAAAAGCTTTTTATTTGTTCCTTAAATATGCTAGTTATCCATGACCTGGATGACTGAAGTGCATTAAACTTGGGGCTGGCTTTGAAAATGATTTTAAAAATTCATGGTCATGCTATGCCAGTGCTTTACCATCTGCCTTTAATCTGGAGCACTGGATGTGTCCTTAAGAATTCTTGCACCAAAGCAATTTCTACTTAGAACTCTCCAAAAATATGAATTTTATCTGAGGGAAGGGCTCAAGGAGCATCAATGTCACACCTTTGAGAACATATACCTGTCCAAAATTGCTCCCAATTTCTTTGCAACATGAGCTCGGAATTCTGGAGTGGTCTGCAGCTCATTCCCATCCTGCCCGTGATCAGAGACCTTCTCTCTGTTTAAAGAGAACAAACTACTAAATTATCTTGGAAGTTTGTAGCAAACAGTTCCCTTTGCCTTGAAAAGAAGAAGCTGGAATCAGATCCTGAAAACTGTAATGAGCCAGCCAGAGGGCTGTGCAGTATGAAAGATCAGGGTTATGGCCTCAGTGCGAATGCCAAGCAGAGAGGCCAAAGATCTTATATAAACACATTTGGCACCAATTCAGGTTGTCTAATACACGACATGGAGGTATGAGAAACAGACTTATAACTCACCTAGGGTTTTTTTGTTTTTGTTTTAAGATCCAGGTAAGTACAATCCTGCTATCCCACCCCTGTGCTGGGTAAATTGGAGAAAAGCATAATTAAACCTAGAATTATGACCAGCTTTCTGGCAGAGGACTCAAGGATGCATTTAGACCAGCATGCCTGGTGAGAGCCTCTTGGGGCTAAAACATGTCAAAAAGAATGGAAAAGGTTGTAGAATAGTGTGTTCCCTTGTTCTGAGTGTTTTATTTATTATATTTATATATATTATATTTATTATATTTCTTTATCCTCAATAAAAACTTTATTACCGGGGGTTCTGGGGGTTCTTGACTTTGCACAATTTTGCCTTTGCGTGCAGACCCCTGGAACCAAACTTTCACATAAGGAGGCAGGCCAAATGTACCACATGATTCTTATGGCTATGTAGCTCAAATTTTAGTTTCTAGTAGAACAGAACACAACGCTCAGTAAACTTTCAAAAAAGCAAAGTTACCTGATGCTAGGTTCAGCGGATGGCAACTTGCTCTTCTTAAAGTTACCTGCAAAAAGTTAACAGTTAGGCCCAACATGGAAGCGACGTTAGTTCAGATTCATGAGCGAGCCCTTGACAAAAGCAGTTTACAAAAATAATGGTGCAATAAAATTATTAGCAAAAGCAATTATTAAAAAAATTAAAACCAGCAACAAACTAAAAACACATCAGCATTCTAGATATTTAGGTAGGCTTGCCTAAATGAAAATGTTCTTAGCAGGTGTCGAAGAGTAAGAATACAGTGATGTTCCAAAGCGTAAGTGCTGCTAGAAGACTGATTTTTGACAGATTTTTGTTGGTGCTGCAAAAAAGCATCAAAATCTTTGTGGATCATTTTTCTGAGTCACGTGCCTCCTGCCAATTGATTTTATAGGCTTCTTATCCATCAAGCTAAGGCAGGCATATGTGGCCATTCACTTTTGGAGCCCCCAGCCTTCATCAACCCCAGCCAGGGATGACAGGGGTTGCAGTTCAAGGAAGCTGCAGGTTCCCCATTCCTGGTTTTAAGAGATCAACTGGATACAGCCCTATTTCTGGCACATACAAAAAAGGCTTTCCTGCAGGGCTTTTTTGGGATGGGTAAAGTTTCTATCTAGAGAGAGGAAGGTGCTGCCAGGCCTGCCGCTCAGGGCTCTCCCTACCGCCTTTGGGCACCAGCAGGGCCGCTGCTGCTGCTCGCTGCAGCACCGGGTCCCAGGCAGCCTCCCGGAGGCGCCCCAAATCCTCCTCCTCGCTGCTGCTGCTGCTGCTGCTGGCTCTCCTGGTAGCCGACATGATGGAAATCCCCATGGTCGCAGTGCATCCTGGGGACTGTGGTCCAGATCTCGTGGCTCAGCCCTTCCCTAGCCCGGTGCCCTCGGAATTGGACTACAACTCCCAGTAGCATAGCCAGATGATACTGGGTCCGATTGGAGCATTACTGTGCTGCCTGGGGCTGATGGGAGTTGTAGTCCAAAACTGTTGAATGGAGAAAACGACCCTAAATGTCTTCATTGGGCTCGTCAGCATATGTGTGGAATACAGAACACAGAACACTTAATTCACCGTCAGAGAGTGATAAGAAAAATAACAAAGAAAGGCGGGTTTGGCTTAATTTATATTATATATAAGCCCTGCTGTTAGCTTTAGATCGTCCATCCATCACATAGGTGGCCTTCTCCTCAGTCTTTTGAAATTGTAAGGTTTCCATACTGACACTGCTTTTCTCCACTGGCCTGAGGCGCCTCATCACATGTCTTGCATATGTCCATGTCAACTTCGCAGACTTTTTGGCTACACATAAATTTCAATATTTGTCTCACCCAGTTATTAGTTTAATGATATTACTGTAACATGGCACGTTCCATGGCATGCTGTGTTGCTCTTACGCTGCTAAGGCTTGCCAAGACAAAAATGTATAGCAGGCGTCAGAAACAGCAGCAGCACCTCATCAAGAGGCAGGGAGTTCCGAAGTGCAAATGCTGCCACACCGCGTCATGAATCCTTCATTCTCCTCCTCCTCGTCGTCTATTTCCATACATTCAAGTGACGTGGCCCTGGGCTCGGCCCCACCTTTCTCACAGAGCTAGGCCCGGGCTCCGAGGAAACAGCCGCCTCCGTAGAGCGGCGGGCCTTTTGGCAGGCGGAACCTTTGTCGCGGCTGCCTCCGGGGCAACAGGGAGAACCTTCGCGCCGGGGGACGGCGTGTGCCCTTGGGATAAGGGACCCCCTTTCCTGTTGTGGGGCCGGGCTTCCGGCTAGGGGAAGAAATCAGGTGACAGTTGCTGTTCGGGCGGAGGTGGAGTTCGAGAGAGCGAAGGGCCGCGAGCGGCGGAAGGCGCCAGCCGGAGGAGCCCGCGCCGACTCCGGTGAGAGCCCCGCAGGAGGCAAAGGGGGAGACCCCCCGAGGTCGGCGAAGGGGGAGCTTGACCTTGGCCGGGCCGGGGGCCTTTCAGGAGAGAATTCCCGCCTTGGGAGCAGGTGCCGGGGCTCCGTCTCGCCTCCTGCTCTCTGTGGGGTGGGGGGTATAGGGGTCGAGGCTGCTGGTCAGGCTCAGTACGTTGCCTTTCATCATCCCCTCATGTACAGTGGTACCTCAGGTTACATACGCTTCAGGTTACAGACTAACCCAGAAATAGTGCTTCAGGTTAAGAACTTTGCTTCAGGATGAGAACAGAAATCGTGCTTCGGCGGCGCGGCAGCAGCAGGAGACCCCATTAGCTAAAGTGGTGCTTCAGGTTAAGAACAGTTTCAGGTTAAGTACGGACCTCCGGTATGAATTAAGTACTTAACCCGAGGTACCACTGTAAAGGGGGGGGGGCTCGTCTGGCTGACCGCTGTTGGAAACGGAATACTGGAATCTCCATGGATCCCAGCTTGGCCCAATCCAGCTGGGTAGGGAGGGAGAGCCTATCAGTGGTAGGATAGCCGAATACAGCCTTATTTCCACCAACGTTGTTGTTGTTGTTGTTGTAGCCGAATACTGTAGAGCCTTATTCTCCCCAACGTTGTTGTTGTTGTTGTTGTTGTAGCAGCTGAACAGAACCTTATTTTCCCCAACATTATTACAGTGGTACCTCGGGTTAAGAACTTAATTCGTTCTGGAGGTCAGTTCTTAACCTGAAACTGTTCTTAACCTGAGGTTCGACTTTAGCTAATGGGGCCTCCCGCTGCCACCGCACGATTTCGGTTCTCATCCTGAAGCAAATTTCTTAACCTGAGGTACTATTTCTGGGTTAGCGGAGTCTATAACCTGAAGCGCCTGTAACCTGAAGTGTCTGTAACCCGAGGTACCACTGTATTGCTATTATTTATTATATCCTACCTTTTCTCCAAGGAGCTCTAAGTGTCTGGCACGTTCCTCCCCTTGTCCATTTTATCCTCGCAACAACCCTGTGAGGTAGGTTAGGACTAGAGAGACAGTGACTGGCCCAAGGTCTCCCAGTGAGTTTCATGGCTGTGGTGGGATTTGAACCTTAGTCTCTCTCCCAGGTCTTGGTCCAACACTGTAGCTGCTGTGGTATACTGGCTGTCTTATGCCGAAGACTTGGCATGTTTGCACTGTGGCTTTTATTTGTTTCGTAGAATCTATATACTGTTTGATTGTAAAAAAAAGGGGGGGAATGCCTCAAAGCAGTTTACTCTCTTTCTCTTCATATATAATGATCGTTAAAAACAACTGCTTAAAACATTTAAAAATAAAACCATTGAAAAACAACAAACAGATTAAAACTCGCACAAAATCTTCACACTTGAGATGTATTCTTTTGGGACCCTCCTTATTTCTGTGATTGTAAATGGTCTGCAACAGGAATTGCAGGATTTGATGCATTCAAGGAGGAGGAGGGCTCTGCAGACATTTATTGGCCATGGTAGCAAATTGGAACCGTCATGTTCAGGGACAGTATCTACCTCTGAATATCAGTTGCTATAGGGTATGGGGGATGGGCTGTCAACTTCAAGTTCTTTTAAAAAACACACTTTGCTGGTATTTAGGAAAGTGCACACCTTCATGTCCTTTCTGAAAGCACCAAGGTGACCATGTTTGAAAGCAGGATACTGGACTAGATGAACCAACAGCCCAGCACACTACCTCTTTTACTTTTTAAACTTTAAAATGTACTTCTTGCCTTGTAGTGCAGAGTGAGGAAGAGAGGTGCCCCTCCCCACTCACTGCATTCCTGTGGTGATCAGTTACAGGGAGGCCTAAAAAAACCAAAGATTTTGGGATTCAGAATTGTGTGTAGATTTCCATGTTATCAGACTGAAGTGTTTTTTCCTGCAGTTTTCCCTCTTGGGTTTTATATTCAATTCCTGTGCATTCACTTGGGTATTCTCTGATTGTAGAGTGGCTAATAAATTCTGAAATAAAATAAAATAGAATAGAGTAGCAGCTCAGAAAATGAACCCTCTTCTTGTAATGAACATATTACAACATTAAAAAACTAGCGATATATCCAGCAAAATGTAACCAAGCCAGGATTGCTGTCAGTATGCTTTTTAATAGCATGTAGCCATAGCTTTTGGTTCTAAACTTTTAAAAGGCTTGTTTTTTGTGTGTTCCCCAAAGACTCCATTTCCCCCTGTATCAGGCCGTATAGGCAAAAATTTGTTGTTATCTTGAATCTCTCGGGTCGCCTCAGGCCTTTACATCTTGGTGCAGGCATGGTGCAAGACTCTTAGCTGATACATGAAAAATATTGAGTGAACTGGTCTTACTTAATTCCATTCAATTAGTGTTGTTCATTGTTAAGATTGTTTATAAATTCTGTGTAAGTGCTGGTGATTTATTCCTATGTGTTTCTTCATTTTTATCCATTCAAAACCAGAGCATTTTGCAAAGACTGTTGGTAGAAGCTGCATTTGACTTGTGGAATTCTCTGATGTTGTTCCTCTATTCTTCTTCAAGAATGGCCTTTGTGTGTCTCAGTTAAATGGCACAAATATTTTCCCAAAAGTAAGTGCCATTGAGTTCAGCAGGGTTTACTCCCAATTAGTTACATAGGATGGTGGCTGCCTTTTTAAAACAACCACCACCCCCATGCTTGGGCATGTGCAGATATAGACCTTACTTTGTTGTTTCTGGAATCCGTCTGGCTCAGGAGACAATGGAGGAGTGTGCCTTTAAGGGTGAAGTCAAAAGACTTTACTATAAATGTATTAATGCAGAACTATTCCACACATGGAGATAATTTACATGCATGATCTAACAGGTTAAATTGGATGTATATTTTTTCCAGAATAAAGGAATAATGCATGCTAAATGTTTTCTTAGGAACTAGATTCAAGTAGGTAGCCGTGTTGGTCTGACGCAGTTGAAATATATATATATAAAACAAATTATCCAGTGGCACCTTAGAGACCAACTAAGTTTGTTCTTGGTATAAGCTTTCATGTGCACACAAAAGCTTATACCAAGAACAAACTTAGTTGGTCTCTAAGGTGCTACTGGACAATTTTTTTATTTTCTTAGGAACTAGTATGTTAAGAGCGTGAAACGAACATCTGTGCAGGAGATCATATTGAGGTGATCTGGGCAGCCCCTCCCAAAGATATCCAGTTAATCACCTGGTCTGGAAAAATGCTTTGGGTCCCTAATGTTCAGCCCTGCAAAGAGACAAAGAAATGTTTGAAAAATCATGTGTGTCAAAATACGAATTTTAGCTGCCTGGATGAGTGACCACCTGAGATTTTTCTAACCCTATTCCACAGGCATTGATTTTGTTTTGTTTTTAATGTTAGCTCGTTTGCTTCTAGTGAGCTGTGCATAATTAATCCAAAAGATTTTGTGGTCACAGATGACCAGACTTTGTTACAATGCTTATACAATATTTTACTTAAAGACTATTTAAATAAAAATCAAACATATTTACTATGGAGTAAGTCCATTGAACAAACTGGGGTTACTTCCAAATAAGCATAGATAGGATTGTGCTGTCAAAGTGGCTTGAAGGCTCAGGATAGCTGAGAATTGCAAAACTGGAGCAAAGGTCCAAGGCAGTATAGTAGAATGGGAAATAGAGCCTCAAGAAGTCAACATGTAAATCAAGGTGTATGTATATCCTGGGTGCAGACACCTATATAAAAGGGTAACGTCCAGATTAGATAACTTCTCTCCAAAGCAGGAAACCACTAGAACGTTCATAAGCTTGCAGCTTAATGTTTCATGAGAAGTGCCCGGCTTAATAAAGGTGTGTGTGTGTGTTTTGCCACTTTTTTTCATTTGAAATGCATGCATGATTTTACTAGCAGTGGCTGAACCACTGAAAAATCTGTAGAGCTCAGAAGCTGCATCTATTAAAGCTTGCTAGCTGATTGCAAGGCTGCCCTTTGGGAGCCCCTGCAAAATGATGTAACAGAATGAAAAGAGTTCTGTTGAAATAGGTGCCTCCTCTTTCCCACTTGCCAAGTTCTGGTGATGTGGGCATTAAGCTGCTCTGGACCCACTGTGGAGCTGCGTTCCCCTATGCAAAAAGCACCATTTCACAGGAGCCAAGTGGCGATGCAGATAAGGTCCCGGTTCAGTACTTGTGCTTTCTCCTTTGGCGTTTTTGCAAGGAAAGGAAGCAGAGAGGGGCTGAATTCGCTTCAGGTAAGCGAGGCAAAATGATAAGATAGCAGGGTGAGGATTCTGTTTTTGGAAGAGCCGCATAGTATATTAAGATGGGGGTCCCCTTGTGTAAGAAGTGGACTTCTCAGCTGCTTACACACTGCTGGGTTTTACAAGCGCTGTAAGCTTTAATTAGTAGGGTAATCTACGAAAGTTTGATTAGTCATTTGCCAGCAGATAAATTATAATTGGTGAGCTGAGTTTTCAAGAACACGCATGTTTATGTATGTTTTGGTTTGTTGACGTGGCAGAAATGAGAGGGAGAACCTTTCTTTGAACAATGAGTGGGAGGGTCCTGTTTGTTAAATTCCAGGTTGTGTTTTCTTTGATACCTTTGAATTTTAATAAATTCATTGAGTAGTTGGTTAATGAGTAAATGATTCCTCAGTTTAAATTGCTGTCATTTTTTTCATGCATAAAACATGGAGCTGCCAGATGAAATCAATTATTTTGTCTAATTGTTGGTGGTTGTTTTTAGCTTTTGAATTGAATGTTAGGGTGGATGTTGTTGTAATAAGTGGGCCAGTATATTGCTTTTACACCCTGCATTGTAGACATATGGTGGCTTCTCTGTGGATTTTGTTAAGTTGGAAATGAAGGATCTTAAGATTAATTGAATGAATACAAATTGAGAAAGAAGCCTCTTAAAAAAAGTTTTTTTTAGTGTATTCTGTTTAATTCTCAAAGGTGTTCTGCTGTGCATCCATGCATCTTTGTTAAACCCATCCCAGCCTTAGCTGTGCCAAGCCACTGGGAAGTGCCATGAATTTAAAAACCAAAAAAGGCTTTGGATGTATTAATATTATCATTCACTGAATTTCAGGGAGTGTTTGTAAACTGCTATGCTAAACGTTGTGGGCCTTGGTTAAAAGAAACAAGCAGGGAACTCACTAGGAGGCCTAGAGATTGCTCTGGTCCCATCAGTGCCAGTCATGAGGGTATATTAAAACCAGGTTGTTGCTCAGCTTGCCCAAGATTTCTCTGGACAACGATAAAAAATGGCCTGAGGGCTTTCACTGTACAAAAATAAACACTATAGAGTATTATTTTCCTCAATTTGGTGCCCTCCAGGTGTTTGTACTTCAGCACCAGCCAGCCCAGCTTTACTCCAAAACCTGTGGAGGATGCCAGGTTGGAGACATATGGTAGTGCCACCACCTCCTCCTTGGGTCTGGATTAGGGAGATAATATAATGGCGTCCCCTAAATTCCCTTCTTTCTTTCTTTCTTTCTTTCTTTCTTTCTTTCTTTCTTTCTCAGAGTTCAATTGCATTAAAAACTTCCTGACTGGGTGTGACAAGAATGGCCAGCAAAGGGCCAGCAGCTTCTACCTCCACCGAAAGCAACAATGCTGGCGGGACCAGTGGCAACAGCAGCAGCGGGGACGGGGCAAGCCAGGACAGCACTTTCGAGTGCAACATCTGTTTGGATACGGCCAAGGATGCTGTGATCAGCCTATGCGGGCACCTCTTCTGGTCAGTATCCTGGTCTTCTTGGCCAGTTGTTCATCTGCTTTCGACGCCAAACGCTTGAGTTGCCTACATAAATGTTAGAAAAGTTTATGCTGCTTCTCCACCCCCAACCCCGTGTGTGCCCCTCACTCATCTCTCTCCTTGGCAGTGCCCCTGCAAGCCAGGCATCAGTTGGGAAGTTCAGTTCCCCACATGCGGCTCTTTGCGTTCTTCCCATGGGAATGAATGGCAGCCATTTAATCCCATGAGGGTGTATGAAAGGGGTGCAGTTGTGGGCACAGTGATGCCAGGTGTGCTAGGATCAGGCTCCTGCTGTGGTATCGGATGCACTTGTTCATGGAACTCCATGAGAGCCGCTGTAAGACCTGCTTTCCTAGTGCCACACCTTTACCTAGAGAGCCCTGCCCTCAGTGCTGTGGTCAACCTTGAGCGTGGCAGAGCCTGGGGACTGGCATGAGTGCAGTTTTGCTGTTTTACTTATTTGATTGTGAATGTATAAACTGTTTAATATAGAATGCCCTAAGTGGTGAATGAACATGTATTCAAACACATATGATAAAATCGGCCATAAGACAAAGCGGCTATGGAAAAATCATCATCATTATTCTTGATCTTATTGGGAACATAACTTCCATTGTCCCTGAACACTGGCAAAGTTGTCATATGGAGGAGATGCCAGGTTGAGGAAGGCCTTTGGCTTGCTTTTCCATAGCGCTGGTGGGAAGCCAGTTCTAGATGCTGCCACGCCTGTGGGGAAACAACTTTCAGCCCAAAATACCCTCGTGTGGTCCTGTTAGTTCATCCTCTATTTGCATACTCAAGTTTCACTGTGTTGGGTTTTTCTTTTTCTGAGGCTGCTTGAATGTAAAGCTCAGCTGCCTCTAGGTAAAGTTGGGATGATTCTCTCCACACCTCTGCCTCGTGCCCATTTCAGAGTGTGTGCCCAGGACAGCTGTATAAGCCAGATTTTCCTTCTCCCTCCGTTCCTGTCATTACTTAAAATAAAACAATGCATGAACAGGAATTTCTGATGCACTGGGGAAATCTGCCGGCTGGCCAGTTGCCTTCTGAGTGCAATGCAGGAATGCCAAAGAACCCCTGACAGACTGCCACCAAACCTCTGTTTAAAAACCTCCAGTGAAGGAGAGTCCACCACCTTCTGAAGGAGCCTGTTCCACTATCGAACAGCCCTTATTGCCAGAAAGTTCTTCCTAATGCTTACTTGGTCTAACCTTCCTTGTAATTTGAATCCATTGGATCGGGTCCCACCCTCTGGAACAGGATAACGCAAGCTTGCTCCATCTTCCATGCAACGTTGCGACAGCACTTTGGATATTTGAAGATGGCTTTCATATCATATCTCAGTCTTATCCAGGCTAACCATATCCAATTCCTTCAACTGCATAAGGCTTGGTACTACCTAGAAGAGAAGCAAATTGTATTATCTGGAAGTGAAGCAATTTTTTTAAAAAAAAACCACCCCTAGCTGCTTTCTTACTTAAATATTATTGTTTTAATACCCAACTGTGGAACCGGCAGGGCTGGATTCCAGTCTATTGCTTGCTCAGTGTATTTTGATCTCTCTCCCTTTTCTCTTCCTGCCTCCACCGCTGTTCTCCTCCTGCCCTGTCAACAAATCATTCTGGGATTCTCAACAGTTGGCCTTGTTTACACCAGGTAAGGCAGCTTTTCTTTTCTTTTGCTTTGTCTTTCATCAGCTCCTCTTGCTCCGTCAACCCCTCAGCTCTCTGGGGGAACTGAGAAGGTGCAATATCCCTTTCAGTTTCTAAACAGTGCCTGTGCACCAGAGATCTCTAGGGCAACCCAATCTGCTAATAACTGTTAGCATGCAATAGTTTGTAATCTGCAGCTTTTTCTGTGGGGGTGATTGTTCTTTGTTGGAAGCTTCTATTGGTTTCAGTGAGATGGCACAGATAAATAATAAGTATCTGCGAGGTGGCTGAGTGTTCAGAGCACTTTTGTACATTCTCTTGGTGCAACAGCTCTGTAAAGGTAGGTCAGTATCAATATGAAAATGAGGTTACGTCAGTGTCACCCACTTTTGTCACTGGCAAAAGTGAGGAGTTTCCATCTCTGTGCCCTGCACCAACTTCTAAATACTGGGGTGGGAGAGGCCATATGTTAGTGTGCAGCTTAAAGGCCTGAGGCAAGAGTTGTGGCCTGTTGTATGTTAAGGGATGCCGAGGAAAAAGTGTGGGTCAGGCCACAAAAGGGGTAGAAGGGTCTGCATGCCGCACAATAGCCTTTGTCAACCTGGGGCCCTCCAGATGCTGTAGATTCCAGGTCCCACTGGCCTCAGCCAGCACAGCTGTACAATGCTGGGGAGTTGAAGTACATGCTGGCTGAAATGAAGGTGCTTTAGAGTGAAATATCTAAAGGGAGCCAGATTGGGAAATTGCTGCCACAGAACCATGCAGTAAAAATGGTCCCAAAGTGCTGAGAGCATGAGAAGATGTTTGGCAGTGGTGGAGAGGTGGAGATGATTCCTTGTGCCCAGAAGATTTTGTGAATGGCACATGCGATGACACTTAGCATATGCTTTCGGTGGTGGTATTCTGATTCTGATTCGTTAATGTATTTAAATCCCACCTTTCTCCCAAATTTGATTCAAGGAGATTTTACAGCATTTTACAAACCTCATTCTAAAACACAAAGGGATGAAAACAAGCCAGTTAAACACCATATTTAAAATAAAATAAATCACATTCAGAACCAGCATTAAAATACTGATTGCACCTCATTTCCAAAGGCCTTTCTGAACAGGGAGGTTTTGGCTTGCTGATGGAAAGATAATAAAGGAGGAGCCGGACTAGCCTCTCTAGGAAGGGAATTGCACAATAGGGAGTCCTGTGTGCTTCATGCAAGGCACATCTCTAGTCTCTTGCTCAGGTTTGTTCGTTCTTTCCTGCCTTTCCAGTGGTTAGAGACCAGGCCCAATCGGCAGGTGTGTCCTGTATGTAAAGCAGGTATCAGCCGCGACAAGGTCATCCCACTTTACGGAAGGGGCAGCACTGGACAGCAGGACCCCAGGTAAGAATGTTGGAAGCCATTTCTTACAGCTGTAGGGGTGCGAAACCTGCGGCCTTCCAGGTATTTCTGAACTACAGCTCCCACTGGCTCCCAGGAAGCATGGCCAATGGTCAGGGATGATGGGAGTTGTAATTCAGCAACATCAGGAGAGCCAAAGGTGCCCCATTCCTGTGTTACAAAAACAGCCTTTGTTTTGTGGGAGCCACAAGCCCTTATGGAGTGGGATTTGCAGAAGTGAACGTGGAGAGTTTAGGTGATGTTGTTGCCAAATGCCTGCAAAGCCTTCACCTATCTGCAGTCTTATCTTTTAAAATCTCCCTGCTTGAACTGTCTGTTGCAGTGGTTCCCAAACCCTTTTGGGCTGCCACCCCATTGGTTCCATAAACGCATCCCCAATGCCCCCCAGTGTACTACACTATTAAAAAAAGCATTATACAGAATGGTGCTTTGCATAACCCACTAAGGAAGATAATAACACCATCTATTTGAGAACTGCAACAATTAGTTGCACATTAATCCAAAATCCAATTAAAACTATTTAGTTTCATTTGTTAACCTGAGGAAATAATGGGAGCTGGAATTGGAGCATTTGCCTGTGTACGAGAACTTCGCTATTCCCCTTCACTGCAGGCTGATAGACAAGGCTGATTAGAGCATGAGAACTGGGCGCAACACTGTTCATGAAAATGCATTTGAGATCCTGAGTGTCTCTAAGGTACTCAGTGCTTCTGGACTCTGTGTTCTGGAAGCAGAGATTTAGAATTATGCAACGTGTATCTGTAGGAATAAGTAACTTGAGCTGGTCTTTAAAAGAACCCAGTCTGATAACATCAGCCCCAATAGGCACATCAGTGCAAAAGACACTTCATTATGCTATGAAGCATTGCTGTAAACTGTAAAAGTGGCAGTGAAAAGTGTTGTGACTCATATACTAGACTATCAAATGTTCTCGATTCCTACCTGGCAGGGGGCTGGACTAGATGAGCCTCAGGGTCCCTTCCAATTCTACAATTCTGTGATTCCTTCCCTGCAAGAAGTGAAGTTACAGGAGGTTACAGGGAACCAGGCAGAGAGCCTTCTTGGCAGTGGCGCCCTCCCGTGGAACGCCCTCCCATCAGATGTCAAGGAGATAAATAACTATGCAACTTCTAGAAGACATCTGAAGACAGCCCTGTAACAAGAAGTTTTTAATGTTTGATTATGTTTTTATGTGTGTTGGAAGCCTCCCAGAGTGACTGGGGCAACCCAGCTAGATTGGTGGTGTATATTATTATTATTATTATTTATTAGCAGCTTATTGAAGTCTGATAGTCATTTGCAGCTCCATCACCCAGTTACTGTCCCCTTGCCTCAAATGCAAGGTTCAACCCTTGTCATTTACAGTTAAAGCTGGGGAAAGATTCCTTCCTGAAACTCTGGAGATCTGCTGTCAGTCAGGGTAGGCAGTACTGAGTTGGATGGGTCAGTTGTCTGACTCAGTATAGTGACGGGCTGTCACTCAGTGGTAGAACATCTGCTTTGCAGATGAAAAGTCCCAGGTTCAATCCCCAGTGGCCTTTCCAGGGCGGGCTGGGAAAATACTTCCTGCCTTAAACCCCGAAGAGCTGCTGCCAGTCAAGAGTAGACTGTACTGAGCTAGGTGGAGCAATGGTCTGACTTGATGTCAAGTAGCTTCCTATATTCCACTATTGTGAAAGGTCTCCACCCTCTTACAGTCTGTGATGGTTACACTGGTGGTGCAACACATACACTCTTTCTCTCAAATAATAATGATAAGAGTTTCAACACAGGCCAGCAATTAAAGAGGAAGATAGGCATGGAAACACCTCCTCAGCCACCCCACCCCATGGCTGGAATGCAGTGGAAGGAAAGAAAGGAGCTCTTGGGTCCAGGTGGTGTTCATCAGGTCCCGGAGTTGACCAGAGCTGGGCTGGGCTTGACTGAATAAATTGTCTCTTGCAGAGAGAAGACACCACCACGGCCTCAAGGCCAGAGACCTGAGCCGGAAAACAGAGGGGTGAGTAAGCTACGATTTGCAGCCTTTGGGGGTTACTTCTGTATCTCCCAGAAGTACAAACGAGACAAAAAGGCATATTGCTCACCCTTAGGGCTATGAAGTGCAACGTACAAGCTTAAACCAAAGCATCAGAACAGCCTTGTTCTGTCTGGTGCCTTCCAGATGTCTTGGACTACAGCTCCTATCAGCCCCAGCCAGCCTGACAGGGCAAGCCTACAGGAGACAGTAGACTGGGTGACCTGCCACTCTCCCATACTTTTCCTTGGGTTGGAGAATGATTTTCCTTTTCCTCTGGGCCCCTGTTGGCCCCTTGTACATTCTTTTAGCCCTGTGGTCAGGAACCTCCGGCCCATGGACCTAATTTGGCCCATGAGGCTGTTTTCCCTCACGCCACACCCATCCGCCTCACATGTCATAATATATTGCATCAGGTGTGGAGCAAGTAAAACTACAGTCACAAAGAAACCACTGGAAGCCTTAAAATGTGCTCTTGGCAAGCACAGTTCTTAAATTCAGTGTCACTGGGATTGATTCTGCTTGAGAGCTCCCAACCGGAGGTCCTGAACAAAGCCAATTCCTGCCAAAAGTGGGACTTGAAGACAGCACTGATCACCTGTCCCACTCTTCCTCATCCTCACAACAATCCTGTGCGGTAGGTTAAGCAGAGAGAGTAAATGGCCAGAGGTCACTTAGTTTGATTCTGTAAACACTGCACCACACTGGCTCTCAGTAATCATGTTTCCTTTTTGTAGGATTTTATAAAAATGTGGATTTTGAAAGCCTGTGGGGACTGTGTATGTAAACAGCCTCTGATTATAGTTGGTCTCCAGCAAGTCTGTGCTACTGGGGAATGAAGATTGATATGTGTAAACATACAGTGTGTGTAGACATGGGGGTTATAAATAGTGTGGGGTTGAGAGATATTGGACAGGCTGCAGAATTTCCTAGCATGAAGATGGGGAGCACACCTGACCTGATGAAATAATTGCATTTTTCCATGCAAGGCAGCTTGGAGCCTCCAGGGTCTACCTGTGGGCCTCATTGCTTCAAACAAACAGCTCTGTTGGGTGTCATTAAGAAGCCTTTTTCTTTTCTCCGCACTCCCTGCAGAGTTGGTGGTGCCTTATTAAATCAGCAGCTGAACTTGAGAGCACCTTTTTAGCAGATGCTGCTGCCAGCACTAAGACTGCTGGAGCAAAAAGGCCTTGCTTGCATTCTGCTCTACTGGCATGGCCTTGAGGATCAGCACAGAATGCCCCCTCTCTGATCAGGTGGCCAGCAGCTGGTAGTACAAGCCATGTGGCCTGTCCCACGTGAAGAGAGAGAGGCTCAGCTGTGGCAAGTTCTCTCATTGGACTGCAATTCCCATTAACCCCAGCCAGCGTATATGATGCTGAGGCTAATGGGAATTGTAGTCCAAGACTATCTGGAAGGCTCCAGGTTGTGGAAGGCTGGTGAAATCCTGGTGCAACATTTCCCACATTCTTGGTAGGTGTGTCACACTTATTTTCTGGATCTAAATTGGAAACAAACTCCTCTACCTCAAAAAGGATTCCTTTCAGAGTGTAGTAAGAAGGAAAGGAGCTGGGTCCCTATGTTTCTGCCTGTGTTGTGGCTTCTCTAGGCAGGCCTTGTAATTTATAAAGTTGCAAAGAGATAATGGTCTCTAAGAGCAGGTGTCTTGCTGCATCTCTGCCTTAGAAGTGACAGGGCAATCCAAACGTCCCCATCAGAGGCTAAGTGGAAAGAGGCGAGTGCAGAGATACAGTGAGCAGGCTCTTCTGTGAGGGGACACTTTGGGCTCATGAGAGAGGTGCGGGTGTGTGTGAGTGTGTAGGTGGGTGGGTGGGTGGGTGGGTGGGTGTGTAAATCATGGCACACAGCCAGGGGCCAGTCATAGTAAATCATAGAGAAGGCAAACAGGTCAGCATTTCACTTCGTAAACTAGCATGCTTGGAAGGTTTCATTATTCCCTCCCCCATTTGTGGTTCTTCCCAGGGCTTCCAGGGTTTTGGGTTTGGCGATGGAGGCTTTCAAATGTCGTTTGGAATTGGGGCATTTCCTTTTGGTATATTCGCTACAGCATTCAACATAAACGACGGTCGGCCTCCCCCAGGTAAGGAGCACTTTCGAATAAAAAAACCCTAGCAAGCCAGCAAATCATTGGTTGCACTCACCATAATTATAGGACTGGCAGATCAAAAAAAAGCTGGCACCTGTCCATTGTACTTACGTTGCTGTTTGTGTAACCAGGGCTAAGTCCTGATGTTTCATTTGTTTAGAACCCTTTAAATATAGATAAGCTATTCTGTTTTTAAAACTTCAATCAGATGAGTGCTGCTTATCTTCTGTTCCATTTTTGTTTTGCTTTTTAAGTACAAAGTGAGAACAATACATTTCTGCTTAGCAGTTCACCCGTGAAGTGATTCTCACTGGTAGTTTGTAAGGAACAGCCTCCAAGCTGATTAGCATCAGTGCTCTCTATATGGAGTAAAACCAGTTGAGTCACTTTCGGTGGCCCTGAATCCTGAGCAGGCCCCCTCCTTTGTGCATGAGCCAAAGCCTTTGACATAACTTTGGGGCTTTGGTGGCCCTTGACGTAAATGTATTTCATGTCCACCACCGAATATATTAAGTTTCCTGTCTCTTATGTTAAGATTTGAAAGCAAATCTGAAAACCCTTGTGGGTTTGTACTACTTAAGAATTAATTTTTTACTCTGCCATTTGCTAACAGAGACTTCTTAAAACCAACGCTTTCAACTTGAAATGTGCTGGGTTTTTTCAGTGACAGGCGCGCTATCCTTACTTGATCACCTTTCTGCTTTTTTCATGGACGCTGCGGCTGTTGCCTTGTCCTTCTTAGCTCTGGCTATATGCAGGGAGTCACAACAATACAAGATGTGGGGATATTACTAGTAAAGGGACCCCTGACCATTAGGTCCAGTCGTGGCCGACTCTGGGGTTGTGGCGCTCATCTCGCTTTATTGGCCGAGGGAGCCGGCGTACAGCTTCCGGGTCATGTGGCCAGCATGACTAAGCCACTTCTGGCGAACCAGAGCAGCACATGGAAACACCGTTTACCTTCCCGCCAGAGCGGTACCTATTTATCTACTTGCACTTTGACATGCTTTCAAACTGCTAGGTTGGCAGGAGCAGGGACCAAGCAATGGGAGCTCACCCCATTGTGGGGATTCGAACCACCGACCTTCTGATCGGCAAGTCCTAGGCTCTGTGGTTTAACCCACAGCACCACCCGCGTCCCAGTAGGGGATATCACTATTATTATTAATTTTTTTAAATCACAGGCTGACTTTCTGAGCAAAGCTCCCCAGGGTGGCTTATGTAATATACATTTCCAGAATGTAACAGCAGTGCAAAACGCAACGTTTCAGCAAATTCTGAGCCACTATAAAAGTGAAATGATCCAGCAATAATAAAACACGTACACAACCCAGAACCAAAACAACCCGGTTTATCTTTTTTTTCTTTTTCTTTTTTTCCCTTTAAGTATTCGCCCAGGACGATATCTACCTTTACCTCCCCACCCCCATTTTATGTTGTTATTTCTATGTATATCATGCTATGGCCACACGGCTAATGCAATAAAATCTATTGATTGAACCCGGTTTATCCATTTCACAGAGGAAAAATATAATGTATCATTTGGTGAAACAGGGTCTTCAGAGCCTTTTCAGAGGCCTGCAGTGTGCTAATCTTTTGAATGCTGACAGGCAGCAAACTGCAGATCCAGGGTGCTCCCACTTAAAAGGCCCAGTCACCCCTGCCATTTTCACTAACTGAGGCCATGAGCAAATGAGGAAGGCTGCCATTGTTGATATGGGTTCAAGCAATCCTTCAGATAACTTGGGACAGTTGAAAGGGCCTAGGGAAGTCTTATAATGAAGATGCAGAATGGCGGCTGATTCCATGCTTTTCTGCTATTGGATCTGGAAATACACTGCTTTTGCTTGCTGAGAGAGGTTCCCTTTTCTTTCTGTCTTCCCAGCGGTTCCAGGGACTCCCCAGTATGTGGACGAACAGTTCCTGTCCCGCCTCTTCCTGTTTGTGGCCCTGGTGATCATGTTCTGGCTCTTGATCGCTTAACCTTGCCCTGTATTGTACCATGGTTTGTGGGGCTCCGAACTGGTCACAGACGACTGCTTCTTCTTCTCCGTGCCCCACTGCCAGCCTCTCGGTGTCTGGTTCCATAGCTCATGGGCTCCCGCAAGCCCCGATGTCTGCTGCAGTGGGAGGAGGACTCTTGCTTATTACGCCAGAGTAAATGGAATTAAAGATCTCTCTTTAAAAGCATTCTAAAGTCCAGCCATGTGTCACGCAACAGGTAACTGGCTAAGGCTGTGAACCTAGCTTTGAGCTCCACATGCCAAGAGGGAGCATTGTTTGAAATCATGTGCCAAGCCGTTAAACCAGGTGCTGGCCCTGGAGGGAGAGTGGGTGGCAAGGCCAGGCATGGAAACACTTGCCCTGTTTCTCAAATGAGCCTTGCAACCCAACAGCACTGAAGTGAAGGAGATCAATGGACCTACTGCTTCAGAATCCAGTTGCATAGATTGACCGAAACCCAACTTGCTCCTGGAAATTGCCTTCTTATGTGAGTACAACTTGGCAGGTGAGGTCACCTTAGGAGTATTCTCTTCCTGCTGTTTCCCACCTGGCTGACCTTTTCCCAGGGATACTTAAAATAAGTTAAGGGATAAGAGACTCTCTCACCCTGAAACAATAAAATACCTAAACTTCCTGAAACCAGATGGGGCAGGTTCTCTCATCTCAGGGCTGGGGGTGGGGATGTTGGACACCAGAGGGGTCCCCTCTGGGCTTGTTGCACAGCACACTTCCGCATGGATGAAAGCAGTGTTGTTTTCCTAAAACTTGTATAACAGCTTTCAGCTCTTAATTTGGATATAGACAGTTCTGGTTACTGTAGTCATTGACACTCATTTGCTCCTTCCTGAGATGAATCCAAAATTGTCGTCTTCCCGTCCCCCAACTTCTTGGAATGGTTAGTTTGGGAAAAGTGGAGGACAATCTTCTTTTGAGCATTTTGTTCTTCCCCCATAAGAGTTTCTCCATAGTGAGAATAACAGCCTAACTTGGGGGCTTGTTCTCAAGCTCCAAGGGGTCATTTGTTAGTGCGTGAGCTTTTTCAGATGACCAAAGATAATATTTTGAAGGGTCGATCATGAGCATGAGCCAGCAGGAAGCTCTCCTACACAAGCCCCACTGAAACAAATCAGAGCCATGCTCCGGTTTCCACCTTTCCTGGCCTTGTCTCTCCATATGTTGTAGTCCAGGAGTGGGGGGACCTGCGGCCCCTCTTAGCCACAATGCATATCACCAATGGCCAGGGATGATGGGAATTCTTGTTCAACAGCATCTGGAGAGCCAAGGGTTCCCCACATTTTTAATCCACATTTTTAATCCAAAATCTCAGGAGAGCACCAGGTTGGGGGAGCTGTCTTCTTCATTTCAGTGGGACCCACGTGGAAGAGTATCCCACTTAAATGGATCTGAACTATTTACACAAGGGATTCCTTTGCAGGAGTGGAAGAAGCCTGGGAACGTTGCTTTAAAACTGTTGCTGCTGAATCCTGGGAGATTCACAGGACCAAAAATGAACCTTCCTCACTCCCTGACCTCACACTTTCTTGTAAATCTAAGGGTCTCTTCTCAAAGACTCCTGGGTTTCTCTCTCGTTTTGCAATGCTTTTGATCTCGTTTTTTTCTCCCTACTCCTTTCCCAATTTCTGTAGCAGCAATTTTTTATGAGTTGCTGAGCAAATCACAGCCAGCAATACTGAAAAGAACAAATTGCATAAGGGGGCTTCTTTTTTTTTGACTAAGGTCTGATAGCATAGTAAAAGCCAGTCATTGCATTCCCAGTAGTCACAGTGAGAGCGTTTCCCTTTTTTAAAAATGTAAAATCCTTCTGTCAATGGTTTTCCAAAAAGTGCTCAAGGGCCTGTCAGCGACATAAAAAAGACTGTAACCTGTGCTGCCTCCTAGAACCTGCATATCTTAGATTTGTTTTGTTGGGGAGAAAGATGGTGCCACCTACTGTTGATAAGGTAAACTGAATACCATCATAATATATAAGGGATCTCTGGCATTTCCTTCTTTTTACAGTTCATGAAAATGAGAACCATGGAACTAAAGCTGCCCTTCTGAAAGCAATCTTGTTAAACGGTTTGCTGTAAAGCTTTTTTTTTTTAAAAAAAAGAATAAAATCTGTGGCAATCGGGAAAGAGAAAATTGTTATGGATTTAAAATATTAAAGCAGATTTAACTTCCTTGGATGGACCTTTTAAACATGTGGAGTATTATAGTTTTGCCAGCTGCTACCTGAGCAGAAGGGGATCTGTCAACCAAGGTGACCACAAAAGTACCTAGCCTGATTCAGAAGGTGCTGGATTGGGGTGAGTCCCACTGGTAATGGCTCATGTGGGTTGTATATTTAATGTTCAAATGGTCCAGTCTCCATATTTTCCTGAAACGGCAAAGGGTCTTGTGGCACCTTAAAGACCAGCAAGTTTATTGTAGTGTAAGCTTTCATGGACTCTACATCCCCACTCTGTTGCCTGCATCTGTTGGAGTTGTCTTTAATGGGGGCAGAAGATTTTGCAGTCTAGCCTGCTTTTTAAGGTGCCAGAAAAACACTCTGCTGTTTGGATTTCTGCATACAAACACGGCTTCCCCTCTGGAATGTCATATTTTACTTGCGGGTTTGAAATGGCCTCTGGAGTTCCCCTTTCTCCTGCTGTGGTTTTTTTTGTATTTGTATTCTTTCTCTCTCCCCCCCCCCCAAAAAAAATCATGTATTGATTGTACTTGGCCTATGGTTAGCAAAAGATGGCACCACTGTGCAACACCATTGTGATTCACTAATTTTCACTGTTGTGAAAGTAATTTAGAATAAACACATTTTTACATTACCTTACGTCTGCGTGGAATTCTTCTTGTTACTGTCATTTAGTCATCTGCAGCCATAGGAATGTTGCTGAAGAGGCAAGTCAGCCGTATTGTTTGAAGTAAAGGCTCTACTTATACACCTACTGATATTTGGGGTCTCTTAAGTCTAATCAGTGTAATAATGTTAATCATATGCACCTTGGTACTATCACAATTGCCCCTGAGGGAACTTCAGAAGGGGTGGAGGTCTTGTGAATGAAATGATTTTGAGAGTGGGGTGAGTGGGGGAGTGAGAGCCCTTCAGCTTGATCAGGCCAAAAGGCCGATCTAGTCCAGCATCCTGTTCCCACAGTGGCCATCCAGATTGCCCAACTGGAATCCTGCAAGCAGGACCTGAGTTCAAGAGCAACTCTCCCCACTGAAGATTCCCAGCAATTATGGAGGTAGAGCATAGTTGCCATTGGTAGCCTTCTCTCAGTTTGTAGGCAAAGGAATTTGTGGCAGCAAATTCCAGGTAAAAAAGATCAGGCACTCAGGGATTCTTTAGCTGTGATTCCTGCATTGGAGGGGGTTGGACTAGATGACCCTTGAGGTCCTTTCCAACTCTACAAACCTACGGTACTATATTTCAGTAATCTGTATGTTGCATTTCAATATATAGATAGATATAAAAATAAAAATTAAAAAAAAGATCAGGCATCAGAGTTGTTAGTTGCAGAATACCAGCCGGAATGGGAAAATGTATCAGGGTAAGAAGTAGCCCAAAAGGTTGCTGGAGGAGCCTTCTTCCCATCTCTCTGCTGTAGCATGATGCAGTGTTCTGGATTACAACTCCCATCAGTCTTGGCCAGCATGACTATGTGATGCTGGAGCTGAAGGGGAAACACCTGGAGGGCACCAAGTTTAGGAAGGCTGAGTGGCTGCTGTCAGGTGACAGTTGAGGAGTGGGACAAATCGGAACAAATAGTAATAATAATAATAATAATAATAATAATTTTATTTATATCCCGCCCTCCCCAGCCGAAGCCGGGCTCAGGGTGGCTAACAACAATAAAACAGTACAAAAGTACAGCATAAACAACATTCTAAAATCATTCATTATAAAATTAATTAATTCAAGCCACTGGCAACCATTGGGCCAGAGCTCCGCAAAGATTGCCGAGGGAGGGAGTCAGGCTGTGCCCTGGCCAAAGGCCTGGTGGAACAGCTCTGTCTTGCAGGCCCTGCGGAAAGATGTCAAGTCCCGCAGGGCCCTGGTCTCTTGTGACAGAGTGTTCCACCAGATCGGAGCCACAGCCGAAAAGGCCCTGGCTCTCGTTGAGGCCAGCCTAACTTCTCTGTGGCCTGGGACCTTCAAGATGTTTTTATTTGAAGACCGTAAGTTTCTCTGTGGGGCATACCAGGAGAGGCGGTCCCGTAGGTACGAGGGTCCTAGCCGTATAGGGCTTTAAAGGTTAAAACCAGCACCTTAAACCTGATCCTGTACTCCACCGGGAGCCAGTGCAGCTGGTATAGCACCGGGTGAATGTGATCTCGCAGCGAAGACCCCGTAAGGAGTCTCGCTGCAGCATTCTACACCCGCTGGAGTTTCTGGGTCAGTCTCAAGGGCAGCCCCACGTAGAGCGAGTTACAATAATCCAGTCTGGAGGTGACCGTCGCATGGATCACAGTGGCTAGGTCAGGGCGAGAGAGGTAAGGAGCCAACTGCTTAGCTTGGCGGAGATGAAAAAATGCCGCCTTTGTTATAGCTGCAATCTGCTCCTCCATGGAAAGGGAGGTGTCGAAGATTACACCCAAACTCTTAACGGTGGTCTCAACTTCGCATATTTCATTGAGAGGCCCTGCAGTCATTTATTTTTATGATATTTTAAACTCTGGGTGGTTTTTTCAAACCATAGTGCCAATTTTTAAATTGTATTTTTATTATTTCCCGTGTGTGCCAGGAACAAGTATGTACCATTACAAGTATGACAGATGATTGTTGTTAAAATCAGGGGTGGGGTGTGCAGTTAAACGACTCCTCAAAATTCCCAAGTCCCCACCACAGCCTCAAACTAAGGTCAGAACCATGACTGTTTACACAAGCACCATACATACACAACAGCAAAGAGGCACAGAAAAGCAGTCTATAAAATTGTAGCAATAAGTGGATACCATGTATCGTACTGTTTCCTCTGACTATCCTGTTGCCCCAGCATCTTCTGGGGCGCCGCTGCTTTGCTTCTTTGACTTGTCTGGAGATGACTTATTTTGCTGACTGGAGGGACCCGTGGGAAGTGGCAACCTGATGAGCTGGGCAGTGGAGTAAATCAGCACACCATGATTTTTCCCCTTATTATAATAGCAGTTTTGGAATGTTATTATTTGATTTCTATTTTGCAATAAGCTTCTAAGTGGTTTACAAAATATAAAAACCAGTTATACTGTTAAAATACAGACAAACATACCGTATTTTTTGCTCTATAAGACTCACTTTTTCCCTCCTAAAAAGTAAGGGGAAATGTGTGTGCGTCTTATGGAGCGAATGCAGGCTGCACAGCTATCCCAGAAGCCAGAACAGCAAGAGGGATTGCTGCTTTCACTGCGCAGCGATCCCTCTTGCTGTTCTGGCTACTGAGATTCAGAATATTTTTTTTCTTGTTTTCCTCATCCAAAAACTAGGTGCGTCTTGTGGTCTGGTGCGTCTTATAGAGCAAAAAATACGGTAATTAAAAATAAAGAATCCCATTAGAACTATTAAAAAGGAGACTCAGGGTCCACGTTCACACCATACATTAGAAGCATTTTAAACTCCCGCAAAGAATCCTGAGAGCTGGAGTTTTTTAAGGGTGCTGTGAGTTGTTGGGAGAATTCCCCACCCCATTACAATTCTCTTGAGTTCGCAGAGCAGAGGGATTGACTTTGTTAAACCACTCTTGAAATTATAGCTCTGGGGGAAGAATATACCGTATTTTTCACCCTATAGGACACAAGATTTACCCACCGTGGAAGAATGGCAGATGAAGGTGATAGACTATATGGGACTGGCAGAAATGACCGGCAGAATCCGTGACCAGGGAAGAGAGACGGCGGAAGAAGATTGGAAGAAATTTAAAGACTATCTCAAGAAACATTGCAAAATTAATGAATGTTAGAACGATGTTGATTTTAGAAACTAAGTGGTTCTCAGCTGTAATGATTAAGTAAAAAGAAAAGAAAGGTCAAAAATTAAACAAAATTAAGGGAGAGGATTTGCTGAACTAATGAATTAGAAATTGGAATACAGAAAGGGGAGGTATGAGGAGGTCGGGGAAGTAAGTTATAAGAAAATAAGGGACTGAAATTATACTTGTTTTGTTTGTGTTTTGTTTGTATTATTGTTTTTTCTTTTTGTATAACTTTTGAAACTTTAATAAATATCTTTTTAAAAAAATATATATTTTTCACCCTATAGGACGCACTTTTTCCCCTCCAAAAATGAAGGGGAAATGTGTGTGCGTCCTATGGGGCGAATGCAGGCTTTCGCTGAAGCCTGGAGAGCGAGAGGCGTCAGTGCGCACCGACCCCTCTCACTCTCCAGGCTTCAGGAAGCTATCTGCAAGCCTTGTGAGCCCGGCGGGAGTTGCTGCCGGGCTCGCAAGGCTTGCAGGCAGTAGTCTGCAGCCCGAAGCACGGGGCGCCCTCCGGAGGGCGCCCCGTGCTTCGCGCAGGTGTCCGCAAGCCTTGCAAGCCGCAGGAGTTGCCACCGGGCTCTCAAGGCTTGCGGATAGCAGCCTGTTCTGGGGGCTGGGGCCAGGGGAAGCTTGGGCTGGGGGGGGAAATAATTTTTAAAAATTCATCCCCCCCCCAAAAAAAACGAGGTGCGTCCTATGTGCCGGTGCACCCTATAGGGCGAAAAATACGGTAGTATTCTAAGAACTCTGATATCCCAGGATTCTTGGGGGGAAAGCTTGTTTGTTACTGTCCTGCTTTAAATGTATGGTGTGAATGTTCCCTGACTCCTTCCTCTTTGAGGTGACTTCCTCACAGTATGTACATTCAACATGCATTTTAAAGCACATGGCTTTCCCTTGAGAATGGTAGGAACGGTAGTTTGTTAAAGGTACTGAGGGTTGTTTAGGAGACCAATTATTCCCCCGAAAACTACAATTCCCTGAGTTCCCTGGGAAGAAGGATTGCCTGCTAGACTGCTAGGAAGGGGAAATAGCAGGGCTCCCCTAATAACTCACAGCACCCGTAACAAATTACACTTCTCAGGGTTCTTTGGAGAAAGTTATTGTTCAAAGTTATTGTTCAAAGGACGCAGGTGGTGCTGTGGGTTAAACCACAGAGCCTAGGACTTGCCGATCAGAAGGTCGGCGGTTCGAATCCCCGCGACGGGGTGAGCTCCTGTTGCTCGGTCCCTGCTCCTGCCAACCTAGCAGTTCAAAAGCATGTCAAAGTGCAAGTAGATAAATAGGTACCGCTCTGGCAGGAAGGTAAACGGCATTTCTGTGCGCTGCTCTGGTTCGCCAGAAGCGGCTTAGTCATGCTGGCCACATGACCCAGAAGCTGTAAGCTGGCTCCCTCGGCCAATAAAGCGAGATGAGCGCCGCAACCCCAGAGTCGGTCACGACTGGACCTAATGGTCAGGGGTCCCTTTACCTTTACCTATTGTTCAAAGTGGCATCATGGCGCTTTAAATTTATGGTGCATATGGGACCTGGGATAAAAGAATGCTACAAAAGGGGGATAAAGGGATGCAACATTGGCTTAACGCCCTTGTTAGGCCACCCAGAGTACCACAGGAAAATACTGTGCAAGCTTGAGCTTTTCCCGGAATTCTTCCTTAGGCAACCATTCATCGTACAACCAACCCCACCTCCTGCCCTGCTCTCCCCCGACCCCCGCCCTTCCTGGGAAACTTAGCGATGACATCACCGGACGGATCCTCTTGCACGTGCAGCGGCTAAGTGGGCAGGATCGGATGGCTCTGATTGGTCCCCGGCAGGGGGCGGGCGTTAGAAACGAGCCAGCGGGTTAGCGAGCGAAGACAGAAGCGGGG